CCTAGTAATTAGACTAGAATATACTAATAATATTACTATAATATAAATTAGTAAGACCTTTACTAAGACTACCTAACTAGTTACTAATAACCTAGCTAAAATTATCTAAAAGGGAAAGAAATAAGGTATTCTATTTAGACCTAAAAAGATAAAAGTAATATACTTTACCTGTAAGCACTATAAGAAAAGCCTAGAAAGCCTAACTATTATATATAAAGGCTAAGTAATAAAAATAAAAAGAAAGATAAGATAGCTTAGTATATAGTTTAATAAGAAGCTTACCTTCTATAACTATATAATAAAGTAATTAGCTAAAGCCTATATAGTCTTTAGTCTGCTTTAAGGCTTATTTAATACTGCCTACAGGCCTTAACTAGATACTATTTAATATACTATACTTACCTATATAGTCCTTATAGTAATATATATATTTAAAGTATAGTATATAAAAAAGAGTACTTTAAGGATAGTTAACTATAGGTATATATTAATAGCAGCTAATAGAGATAATAGCAAGGTATAGGTTAATACTAAAGTAAACTACTTAATATAGCTTATAAAAAGTACCCTTAAGGACTTAATATAAGCTATACTTCTAGTCTAAAGAATAATACCTACCCTAATACTATATAAAGAAAGTAATATTTTACTAGCTAAATAAATACTAAAGGCAAAATAAAGATACTTTTATATATAACTATAAGTACTAAATAAAAGGCACTTACTAGTTATTACTCTAAATAGCCTAAAAGATATAAAGAGAAATAAAATATATAGTTTAATATAGCTTAAGTATACCTAAAAACTCCTCCTTACTATATTATAGCCTAAACTTATAGCACTAAGGTATATATACCTTTTACTACTAAAAGGGAACTACCTAAAGAAATACATAGCCCTTAGCTTTAATGCCTAACTATAGTTTACTAATACCCTAGACCTAATTATATATTCTAATAGGTTATAGCTAATATCCAGGGCTATAGACTATAGATATATAATCTACTAATTAAGGCTAATAGTTAGTAAAGGTAATAAGTAACTTAGAAAGGCAGAGGTCTTTAATATAAAGGCAATAGGCACTCTATAAGGCCTTAAAGTAACTATATAGTTAGCCTAGCTAGAAAACTATATAATTATATACCTAGATAATATATTAGTAGCTAAAGGGTTATAGTAAAATACCTTAAACTCCTTATAGAATATATTTCTTAAATTCTAATAAATATCTTAAGCCTATAGCCTTATTAGGGTTAAATAGTGCCCTAGGTATATAAATATTAAAGGCAATAAATAAGTAAATGCCTTAGCTAAAGCTAGCTATAAACTTCTAAAATTACCTAAGGCCTAATTAATACTAGCTTATATCTATAGACAGGCTAAAGCTAGAATAAAAAAAGATTTTAAGGACTAGTAAACTACTAATATCCCTAATAGCTATAAGAACCTTAGCCTTAAAGCTATACTAAAATATCTAAAAAAGCTTAGCCTTTATAGATACTTACTATACTATTTACTAGTAGCTAGAATAGGCTATAAAGACTTTACTAATTACTATAAGAGATTTTAATATAATAATACCCTACTTAAATACTCCTATAGGCAGTAGAAATTACCTAATTACCTTTTCTATTATTAAAAAATTGCCTTTAATAAGAGGCTATAGCTTATACCTACGCCTTAAAGGGAAATTAACTAAATAATAGGCAGAAAATACTAAAACTTTATTAAGTTTATAGAGGTAATAAGCTTTTTTATAAAGATCTGCCTATAATGCTAAATAGGGCCTAAAACTTATACTAGAAGTAAGTTAACTACCTAACTAGGCAATAAAAATACTTTTTTCTTTTTCTTTTATATTAATATTTTTCTTAGTTAAGGAAGGTATGCCTAATTAACTAGCAGCAGGCAAGCTAATATACCTAAGAAAATAACTACTAGTAGTTATAAAGAACAGGTTTAGATAATTTAACTACTAAATAATTAGATTAAATAGGCAGTAATAGCTATACTTATATGCATTTACTAATGGAAACTAAGCCCTAGAAATAAGGCCTTTTTAAAATTAAAAAGGCAAAGGAGTTACTAAGATTTTATTATAATTTAAATACATAGCCTTATAAAGCCTTATTTTTAGTAAGCTATTACCTGGCCTATATATAAAATAACCTATTTTAGCTAGCTTAGCATGTCTCTTTACTCCTTATAGAGATTAGCTAGAGGAAGCCCAGTAGGACGTTAAATAATACAATAACAATAACAATAACAGCTCGTACATTCTGTACATTTCTTTCTAAGTCTTTTATTATCATAACAGAACTTTAATCTTCAATTAAAGCAACTAATAAAACTATTTAAATAATACAAGGCTATATACTGCACTGTCGGCTCTGCTAATTTATAGGCTATCGATGCAGTAACCACGAGCTTGATCCCCATGTTGGTCTCATCTCTTTTGCGCTCGACGCTCGCTTCTACGGCATCTCCCGCAAGGCCTGGCAGTACCTGTAACTACCCAAATAATCGCAAACGCTCGCTCGCTATCCCAAACAAACAATCTACAGTGCCATACATACATGGTAAGCAAAATCCTAAGGGCTGGAGCACTCAGAGTCAGCCCTCTCATCAACCTGCTCAATCCGACCCGTCTTGACATCATAAACATATCCAGTAATAGGCACATCCAAAACCAACGGGCTTTTGCGCAGAAAGGCAACGTCATCAATAACACTCTGCCGCAAATCAGAGAATGGAAGAAACGCCATGTGGTCCACGTCTTCCTGCAGCTCTCGTCTGATCTTGGACCGGAAATCTGTGTCGGAGAAGCTCTGCATGCCGCAGCCGGTCTAGAAGCGTGGGGTGTCAGCCGGGCCGGTCACTATCTCCATGGGGGGGCAGCTGAAATTATGGCCTTATGATATTGCCGTGGGAATGGAAAAATATCGAATAAAAATGAGATGGGATGGTCTTACATGGTGCATGACAATAATCTCACGCGTGCCCAGCATCTGCTGAGAAATCAAGATTGATCGAAGCGCTTCTACGGCTCGACCGCCAGCTGTAAGTGTCAGCTTTGCAGGTGAGACAAGAAAACTGGAGTAGTTACGTACCATTTCGGATGACATGGGCATCGCCAAGGTCTAGACCCAGTACTTTCTCAACGTCCAATCTGCTGTCCATACACGCTACCACCGCAACCTTTCTGGGTAAATGTTAGGCCCCCGATCCTAGGCGCGGGTATGAGATCACGTACCGACGGGGCGGAGATGGTAAGTGGGACTGGGTAAACTTTGCTGCATATCTGCGATTCGCAGCTTCAAATTCAGATGTGACAGAGGGATAGAGAACGGGCGAGGACACGGGTGAAGTGTCAAGTGCAGGCATCTTGGTCTTGAAGTAGGCCATTGAGAAAAACTGTGTAGATGGAGATATAAAAGCTTGTTTATCGAAGGAGGTCTTGTCTGTTAAGTAAAGAATAAAGCCAAGAGCCAAGAGCATGCCAATTCTTGCGTTCCATGCACGACTTCTTATCCTCGAGTCCGCACCAATATAAAAAACCCTCCGTTTCACAAGACCATTCCAGCTGGCCCGTCCGGAACGTCATCCCAAACGGCGGCGCCCTCCGACCCCGAGATAAATCCCCGCACACACACTTTTTCTGCAGTGATATTGTCTGAGATTCTGCACATGGTGTTGACAGATCATGCCATAAAAAGAAATGTTACCAGGCTGTCAGGTACACCCACGGACCGGATGTGAAAAAAAGGTGGCAGCCATTAAGAAGCAGGCTATTGCATGCCATGGCACCATAATGGCTCGGCGATAGCTCACTTGACCTCGATCTACGATTGAAAAAAGAAAGTCCTTCGGAGTTCCAAGGAAAGGGCCACGACTAGTGAATTCGCCAAGGGTGTGTGTATGCTGACTATGATCCTTGGCTTTACTAGGCGGTTTGTTAGTGGTTGGGAAAATCTGGGGTAAAATGACTATGCCACCGCGTAGATCCCGGCATAACACCGTATCACTTTATCTGTGATAGCCAAGACGCTTTTTCTTTACAGTGGTGTGCAAATGGTACTCTATATCCTCTAGCTCTGTATATCCCCTCTTTCATGCACTGAGAATAAAGTCGAAGAGGCTACTCTTTTCAAAAATGACGCCTGTTTGAGGCTCGCTGTCGAATAGCACACTATCACCGCGGGACTGAAAGGCTATCATCGGCCCGGTTGATGTCCCATACAGCAATCCCGGCGGTCTAGATGCGCATGCTGTACATGGCTGTTGAAAAATCTCGCAGCTGGATGTTGAAGATTCGAGAATAATCGCAGCAGGGGACATGAGCTGCACCCCGCGTATTAGCGTCACCGTTGTGAGCTGGTGTAGCCAAGGAATCTTACGGGATGATTATGCAAGCCTTGTACAAGTGTAGCCTGGTCAATCTCACCACTCTTTCTTAAGATCCGTGCCGTAAAAGCCATCTGGGCGTTGAGAGGCTTGAAAGTGCCTACACTATTGGTTTCGTTGCTAACACGACGTATGCTTCATCCCGAAAAGGCATGTCGATAGCAAGCACCGTTGTTAGATAACAGCTCACTCGCGGAGGGCAACTTCTTGTACCACCAAAAAGGCGTAGCAAGCTGAGTCCGATGTGTTCCGAGCCTATGCAGTGGTCAGATATTAAATCGAAGCCGCTCGGACCAAGATACTTGACGTGTCGGACTGTCGATCAAGCATCCGGCCTTTACCAGGGTCGCCTCAGATCACCCGATCGACCATCTTATTTCCCTCCATTTAGGCAGGTCATCAAACATTCGAGAATTACAGCTCTATAATGTGGGTTGTTAAATACCGCTTATCGAACCACCCCTGCTTTCCATGAAGCAAGCTTTCGATGTTGGGGATGTGAAGATGCTCAAGTTGATTAAGATTTTCTTTTAGTATTTTGGCCTGCTATGTCTCGTTGATACGTCATAGGCTTTAAATATTAATTACTTTGCAACCTAAAGATTTGCCCAAGGCTGATAGTTGTCCTCGCACATAAGTCTTTGGAACTGGCGGCGTCTAATACCGATGTTTCCTCCATCAAAAAGAGGGAATACAGCTGCATCAGCTAGGAGACGAGGGAAGCCCGTATCGTTGGCGTATGATGTCCTGAGAAAGAGGTTAGTCAAGAGCTCTACAGAATAGATAGTGAATGCAGACACATACATGCCAACTACCTGCATGCACTCGTACACGCACTGGATGGCCGAGTCGGAGCTGTGGATCTTGGCTTCCAAGCAGGCTTCGAACTGGGCCTTGGCATCACCTGGTCCGTTGTCTAGAGAGTCAAGTGCCTTCCACACTAGAGCCCGGGACGAGTCGATTCTTATCTTGGCGTTGATGAGCAAATCAGAGGGACTCTGCCTCTGGATGATAGGCACCGAGCCTCCCCTGTGGTCGTTTTTGGCAAATTCGAGCGCCTTTTCGAAAGCAGCGCGCATGGTACCGATAGCCATGGCCCCGACCATGGCTCCTGTGATGCCAAAGGCCTCCTCGATCTGCTTCGCACCTGACCCAGGAGCAAACAAGACATGATCGGCGGGAACCTTGAAGTTGGTGTAACGGGTCTGAGGGCCTGTAACGGCGATATGGCCCATTAGATCTGGCTCTTCGAGCATTACGTAGGCTTCGGGTGGGTTCTGGGCGACCACCTCTCGAGTTACAAGTAGTACCATCAAGGTGGTGGCTGGATCGACGTCGGCTTTCTCTGCCCCCCCGTCCTCAGAGTATCGAACGCACAGGCAGGACAGCGTGGCGCCTTTAGCATCCCAACCAGCACTGTTTGTAGTCCATCTCTGCAATAGCATTAGTAGCACGCACGGCATACAGAAAAGGTCGCCGCTTCTTACCTTTTCTCCATTAACGACGTAGAAATCACCTTCCTTCCTAGCAGTGACACCGAGGCCTTTGCCACCCTTTTCGAGATGGTTGGCCGTGCCACCTGGCTCGGAATGAGTCAAGCTTGCGAGATAGTCACCCTCTCCTGAGATGAAAGGAGGGAGGAACCTTTTCTTTTGCTCAGGCGTACCACCCAGGAGTAGAGGGAGCAGTCCAAGAGCGGTGCCCACAAGGTGGATAGTAATGCTTGAGTCGACGGCATACAGCTCTTCCAATATGAAGGCAGATTCCAGAAGACTTTCAGCCTCTCCGCCGTCTGACTTTGGGATCAGGGCCTTGAGTAAGCCTGCTCGAACTAGCTGGGCGTAGAACGGACGAGTGGCACGGAAGCGATCGATCTGGTCTGGAAACTTGGAGTAGACGGGGTAGGCTGAGCCTAGGACCTCCCGTGCGGCTTTTGCGGCCTTGGCTCGCAGTAGCTTTTGGCTTTCAGTTAGGGAAAAGTGAACCATTTTGAGTTGAGATAACTGAAGACGGTAAGAGACAATAGCTGCTTTAAAGGAGATAAGACTTGCGACAGATGAGCTTGGTGTTGGCAAGAGATTCAATACTAGATGTAGGGCTGTCTTTTATAACCTCGATATCCCTCTGTGGTCAATGGCTTCTTATCTATGATTTATCACTTCCATAGCACCCCCACCTCTATCAGTGTTGTATCACTTTGATCTGTCAACCGCGATCCCGTGGTAGTTCGGTATCTTGTATATCGCTAACCCCATGGATAATGAATCAGTCAATCATCATAACGCAGAATCACAGGTAAAAGCTAGTATAGAGACGGTAGTCGTCTCAAAATTTACCATAATTGGACAAATTACTTATCAATTATCTACTAGGCATAATCTGGCCCTCAACCACTGTCCAATAAACAAGCCGAACGAGCATGGTGGAGGGGTTCCGTAGTCGACGTTCCCCGCCCTAGAAATTTAAAAGATAAGCAGTATCCCGTCTTTATCTAATCTGTCTCTGCCCCGGATAGGTACTACCCTGTAAGGCCCCTGAGATAGACTCGAATCCACATTCCTCCGGCCAGCGAGCACATGACAGCTTACGCCACAATTCGTTGCGCTGTGGCCTGCAACAGCCGCCCAAAAAGGCTTATCAAAGGCCTGTCAAAGACAAATGAACTATGTGTAATCCATACATATGTCGTTAATGTTACGAGCTTTATCTCCAAGAAAGTAAATATACCTCTATCTCTATTATCTTGTTAAATAGCCTCAGGCATCGATTTACGTATTGCTATAGGGCATCTTAAGTTTTCAATATACATATTATATAGTGAAAGTTCACTGTAGGTATATTGATAGACTCCCCGCACTCAATGAATTCCAAACAGTCTTTGCAAAATACTACTTATAAGAAATGAAGCCAGGAAAGGAGCTATATATAGACCTTTCCTATAGTTATATAAGATATTAACTATTTAAACAAACAAACAAACAATCTGTATTCTTATTTACTAAGTACATAATTCGGACTGTTGTTAATTAGTTAGTTTCATAAAAGCTTAAGATTATAACTTACTAAATAATGGAAATCTACACAATCTCAGTCATCCACATTTCAGATAACACAAGGATCTTTCGCCAACCAAGGATCAAGGTCGAACAAATCGGCAAAGGAGCAGATAGACCCATCCCCAAATGGATCACCCATGAAACTCTGATCAGTCAGCAGCCATTGTAGATCTTCGTGATCCACGTTAGACGCGCTCTGGGGGTTGAACTGAGCCGAAGCTAGTTGAACGTGTTCTTCTGATAATGGCCCATTACCTTGTGGGCCCTTAACCCCCAAGCTTTTCAGATCAAGATCATGAGTTGCCCAGGACGCCGCGAGTAGTTGAATTGCTCGACAGGCCCTAAAGCTCCACGTCCATAGAGTCCCCATTTCCTGTAGAGCCGAGAAACATAGACGAAGTTTCGAGTTACCACCTCGCCGAATAAAAGGTTGGCTAGAAACTGCATCCATGAGATGGATTGTAGCGGCTGTGAAAGTATGAGAGACAGTCCCAACAGTGATAAAACGCTTCACAAACGTTAGCTGGACCTTTTTCCTCAGTGTGAAATGCCAGATGTGGCTCACTAATGAATAATGATGTTTGTATGTGCGAAGTATTGTTGTTATTTTATCCGCAGACGCTCGGCATATCTCCATATGAGGGCATGGATAGGATGATGGATCGCCTATTGATCCCTTCTTACCACCCATAAATGGCCTGTGAAGCAAGATCTGCCCGACATGATATTGGATGCTACAAACGTCAGTGAGGCTGGAATAACAAGTGGACTACTCATAACACCCACTGTAGTTGATACACATGCGGTAATGCCGCTATGTGTGAGGTGCTGGGCAGTAGCATGAAAGATGGGAGTCGTGACCAGCACGTTCTCACCTCGAGGTCTGTTTTCGAGACGAGATTATGCAATTCTGTAGCAGATAAAACACTTTTGGGGGCATAGCTGTTATGGTTTTAGCCATGGCTACTGACGAGTCTCTCATAGTGGCTTATTAAAAACCTACATAATATCCAATGTTGAGACGATAAGACTCAGATGGTCAGACATACAATTCGCAATAGAAGGTATCCTTGAGCAAGACATGGGCACCTGCCGCGGTATATCGGCTGTAGGGGCCCAGGGCTCGTATTCAGAAGCATCCTGAGTACGTAATTTTGGACACGTCACATGGTGACTAGAGACTGTCCCAGAGCGCCCTAATCCGAGGACAAAAAGCCTTACTGACGGTTAATGGACGAGTAGCACAAGGTAGATAGATGGATGGCAGAGACATGGGGACTCATACTTATCAAGAATCCAACAACCTGACCATACAACTTGACGTACATTCGCAGCCTCTTTGGAGATAAGACCAGATTTCACCAAGTCAGTGCAGTCAAGGTTGAGGCCAAGATTGAAGGCCATGCGAGTTGCCATACCTGATAAGAAGTTGATCGTTAGTTACATGATGAAAAGTAATGGCACCAGAGCGCTGTACCAATATAAAGCCAACCAGCTGGTTCTTTGTTTTCTGCCATGCACTGTATCGAGAGAAGTGCGGCGGCCTGGACGGCAGAGATTGTTGTGACTTCGCACTCATATCGTAGAAGGTCTTTGGCGTGCACGGCGAACTGGATGCCTGCCGTTGCAGGGTCGTCAGGGTGTGTTCGTAGGCATGGACGGTCCGAGTATCTTGCAGCCACAGAGTATATAGCCCAAAGAAGCAACGGTGTACAATACTCGGTGGCCATGTCACTTTGCCAGTCCCTCATAAAGACAGATTTCTCAACAATGTATACCCACGGGTTCTGCCAACAGAAATATAGTTCAAGAAGATGTTCTTGTAGTTCCAGTGGCAACGTGACTGCCTGACTTAGGCGGATTCCGCCACACGAAGCTGGCTTGGCCAGCTCCCCTAAACCAAATCCCGCTTTATGGACCAAGTTCAAGTTGCTCTGTGAGCTGAAGAATCGAAGCTCGCCATCATCATCTAGTGCAAGAGAGCCGCATTTCTTTGTGATTTGCTCGAGCAAGTCTTCTGTCTCATCTGCAGTTACTTGGTCCGGCTTGGGCTTGTTTTCAACAATTCGATCAGCTCCTCTAGGACTTTTTTCCAAGGCAGGAATTGTTTGACCCAGTGCAACGAGTTGATCTTCTAGAATCTTGATACGGAGCTGTAAGGTCTCCACAAGCTGTTTGCTTGGCGGCCTACGATGTCTTGTTAAATTGTACTTGACATAAACAAGTAGCGGGGGTAAAAGGTCAAGAATGAGGGATTTGTGCATGTTATAGCCTTACTTGCGTCTGTTTTCACTGTGTAGATACTTGCAGGAACATCCTCTTGCGATACATGAACTACACGACGGCTCGATCCCATCGCACTATCAAATGTATGGTTAGAGCGTGAATCCATACGACTACAGATACTTGCATGTAGACCGGAATAGTAATACTAACTTTGATGCGCTTTTGACGACATGACGTGCATGCAATGGAGGATCGCTGAAACCTAACGTTTTTTGGGCGAATTGCTTTCATGACGTGTCATACATGATATGTATGTACCTCCTTTTTAGAAGGGTGTAACGAAGGGTGCAAGAAGCCAGTGGGGAATCCTTATCTCGTAGTTATAATGAGAATGACAAGCCGCCAGTTACACGTGACAGTAGTTTGTTAGGCAAATCAGCTAGAAAATGTTTCGGAATAGTGCCACTTGCGGTTAGCGAGAGATAGGGGATAAGTGAGGTTTTGCTAAGATAAGATAGATATGTCTTTTTCCTGACTCCTCCAATAAAATAAATGCCGAGCTATATAAGTCTAATAGAAGTTTCCCGGGGAGGGTGGTTCTATCTAACTTGATTGTTCACTATGTGATAAGGTTCAGATTTCAAGACACTTAAACCTCAGCACAAAGGTAAAGAATACAGTAACATATGGGCAATACACCCTTTGCGCTTGCTAGCGCCTGACGATTATATATTCAACTTAGCTGCTGCCGACAATCAATCCTCGAAAGTAGAGTATATCGTGCAATACAGTACCAGCCGACCTTAGCAGTATACCATGCCTTTCCTGTCAACGTGCAGTGTGACCTTACTTAATGTATCTACTGTAGGATTGCAAGGAGATCAAGTACTGAGTTCTCCAACGTTAATGCTTTTCTTCTCATCGTCCTTGCCAAGGTGGTGGACAGTCTCTTGTTTAGCAACTTCTGTAGGCATGCCCTCAATTGGATCCCCAAAGAGTTCTTGAATATCTTCAAGCGACATTTTAGAGGTCTAGGCCCTGATTAGCTATCGTCTCTGCAAAGTAGGAATGGTAATACACACCTCGGGAAATGTCGCATAGGCGTATGCAATGATGATTGAAGTGGTACCAATAAATACCAGATAGAACTTCCACCCAATCGCAGCAAATGCCGTAGGTGCAGCTGTAGTGAAGATGATTGTGGCGAAAAAGAGGCCAGACACAGAGATTGAAAGGCCTTTTGCTCGAACTGGGGTAGGGAAGATCTCGGATGCATAAACGTAGGACGTGGCATCGCAGCAGAGAGTAAAAATGGTGACGTGGAGGAAGAGGAAAAAGACTGCGCCTGATGCAGCTCCTCGATGGTTCGTCTTCTCAAAGACGGACATGGTAATACATTCTCCTATGAGAGCAACAATGCAGCCCGCGAAGCCTCCAACTGAAACGTGTCAGTATACAATGTGAATCAAAGGGTAGATAGCAGCTGCTAGTGCAGTTGCATGTAGGTAGCACTCACGGAGCATTTTCACGCGGCCTACGTGATCAACAAGGAAGGCATTTATAAAGTTGCCGAAAGGAGCCACGGTAATCCAGCCGCACTGGATGAGAAGCTGCTGGACGGTGTTGAACCCCAGACTAGCATACAACAAAGGGCCATAGTCTGAAAAGTTAGTACAAGTGTGGCCTCGGCTCGTATGGCAAGATCGCTACTCACTGTTGATAACTATGGTCGCTGTGGCTTGACAACCAAAGGTGGTGAGAAACCCAGTAATGCATCTCTTTCTCATTGAAGGCGTCTTGAGTAGATCAAGGAACGTAATGTTTTGCTCTGTCTCGCAGATGGTCTGTCTACGCAAAGTCTCGAAATCTGCATCGGTAGTTTCCTCGTCAGAAGTCGTGCCACCACGTCTTCCAAGCCGCGTATAATTAAACGAGTCGCGGGCTTCGTCAATGCGATTCACTAGAATTACTGTCACCAGGTCAGAAGAGGCAAACATTATCGATGAAGGAATGAAGCTCACGCCAGCGGGGAGTTTCTCGCAGAAACAGGATGCCTACTGCGAGCAAGAGCGAAGGCAAGCACTGAATAGCCAGAGGTATACGCCACTGGGCACCGGAAGCTTTGACGAAGTAGAATCCCAAACCGACATAGCTTGCCAGGGCATAGCCTGTGCCAATCATGCCACCGTGGATACCGACGAGGAGCCCGCGAATATGCGATGGCGACATCTCACTCTGATACAGAGGAACCAATGTCACCAAGGCCCATGAGAAGAATTAGTCTGCGGTCTGCACCCTCAACACATCCGCTAACTTGCCTATGCCTATACCAGTGATGAAACGCGATGCAATGAACATGGCGATGTTGACGCTTCCGGCCTGAAGGGCTCCACCGATGGTCGATATCAGCGCGGCAGTCAGGATGGCCTTTCGACGACCAAGGGAGTCTGCAATTGCATAACAGCTCAAGGTTCCTAGAAAGCCTCCAGCTTGGAACAATCCGTTGATAGCCCCCATAAGATCATTCGCATTGGGTCTCGAGTCTAAGGCGAAGTAGCTCAAGAATGTCGGCTGACCCAGCGTTGTAGCAATGATGCTGGATGCATAGCCATAGCTGAGACTACCGAGAGCCACAAAGATGACAATCTGTTACATGTCAGATTTTGCCTTTGTACATTGATCAACGACACGAACCGGTAGACGCATTGCAGAGGTTGATTCCATCGTAAAGAGCTGGATAATGTAAGAGGCTTGTCTGGTAGCTGGTGTGTTGTCGCAGTCAATCCATCGCTCCAACAGCTTGGTAGATGTACTACAATGTTGAGAGTTTATATAACATGTTATACATATTCCGTCTGTCCTTACCGGACAAGTGAGATAAGCAGACACCGTTATAGCGAGCTATCGAGGTATAGTCGCCTTTCCTCCCTCGCCCTGATAATCGTTCGAGAAGCGCTATTTCGGATTTGGTAAATTCAAGTCAAGACATCCACATTTCATTGGCTGCTGATAACAGCCCGTTTTGCACCTCCGGGTAATACTTATCCTTGATGAATTTCTTATCTTGTTAGGCCTTGAGTCAGTCAATTGTTACTAAGTTTTCTGTGTTGATATTGATCTTTCTCTAGGTAGTATATCGTTTCCAACCCGTTCCAGGCCACACCATGCTTTCCACAAAACAAGCTTTCGATATTGGGGGTAGACTCGAGTTTCCATTGAGGAGTAAAGTCGATTATACGCCTGGTCCAAATATCTCAGCCTACAGAAGACGAAAATGATTGAAGTCCGTTAGCCTTAAAGCTACCCGCCGTCTAGATACCGTGATGGATAAACGGAACCCAGGCCGGTGAAGGCTCAATCTTGTGTCGCAGGAGGATAGCTAAGGAAGCCTCTCTAGACCCTCTCTGACCCCTGGTCTCGACCCCGGACATGAGATTCTTGCTTACCCGTACGCATCTGGATGCTTTGGTGGCAACTCTCCTCCATCTTGTCCCCAAAGATGTCGACATGCTCTTAGCCTTTGCTCTACTCCGAACTCGTCTTCTTTCCCACCTAACTCCATGGACCACAGGCTCTCTGATAACCAAATTGTTGAAAACATCATCATTCACACCTCTGCTATGTCCTTCTTGATCCATCTTCTCCAGCCACTTATCTCTCAGTCAACGACTCACCTCATGAAGCCCCCAAGCCACAGATTGATCTGACATCCCACCATCTTTAATACCTTCATACACTACCTTGACTATATCAACGCAAACTCTTTCATTGACCTCCCCAAGAGTACCTATGATATGTTGGAAGCCGGCGAGTTGGAAAGCGCTGATGAGATGAATGCTCTCATCCATGAATTGCTCCTATTGAATACGGCCCGTTCCACAAGCTGACAGAGACGCTAGAAAAGGTGGCTGGTCCTTAAGATTCAGGTCCAGTAAACTGCCTACCCGCAGTGGATTCGTCAAGACATCTTCTTCAAGACACAAATAGCTCCTGAGGGGGTCTTAAGGGTCAGTACATCCATGACCGGCAAAATGGAAGAACTTGCACTGGCGAAGTTAAGTGCCTTTCGTCGCTCAGGCTCAAAAACCTCTTGTCCGATGAAGTCTGCAGATCGGGCGGGGTCTTAATGCCAATGATGGATAGGTATGTCTTGAAAGTGAGGCGATGAATACATTACTGTATGCGGGCGGCGCTTTCCCTAAGCCCCGCTTTTTACCACACTGTCTCCTTTCGCCAGCTCATAACCTCTTATCAAGATCTTATCCTCTTTTCTTCAATGCCAACTACCATGGAAAGACCTCAAGTTAGTCCTATCGAAAGATTGCCTGTTGAGATAAACCAGAAGATACTGTCAACCGTTACCGATCTTCTGTCCCTGCGATGCGCCGCGCTGTCTTGCCCTGCACTTTTCTATGCGTTCATTGACGCTGAAAACGCAATCACGACGCGCGTTTTGTCTACGCAGGTGGGTTTTGACGTGCTTCCAGAAGCTATCGCCGCGTCAGAGTCCTCACAATTGCCGTCTCATACGGAAGACGAGATCCAAGAGTTTGTCGCGAACCATCTTCGCCGAAGACGATCCCCATCCGAGTCATGGACTCTCGCCAGCGCGCTTCCCATTGGCAAGTTTCACAACTGTGTGAGCGCTTTTGCGCGTATGTTTGTCAACAATATCTCCATAATAGAGAGTTTCCGACGAGTTGGATGGCTCGACCCAACATATGATGAGACATATCGCATCGAAAGAGCCTTGTACAGGTTTGAAGTCTTCCGCAACATCTTCAGCAAATCAAGGAGCATAGAAGAAGAGAGGAATATTTTCTTTGCAAACTTCGCGCCATGGGAAAATGAGCAGCTGGGTTGCATTCATGATTTCCTCGTTCGGGCAGTCTCTCCAGGTATGCAGTCAGTTGCATCATGATAACGATGGCATCCAGTGCTAATCACTTTAAGCCTTTGATGACGTTGCCGAGCACGATATTACTTGGGGCGAATTAAGGGTTGAATATGGCGTTGGAATAGAGTCGCCTTACATCCAACATCTTCTTTCCCTTGGTTTAGAAAAGTTGCATCAAATCGTCACGGCAGAGACATATGAGGCGCGCCACAAGTTGCTAAATGACCGCCGCTTTGGTTGCCCACGAATTCGAACCGATTTTCTCTACGATGCGCTCGATAACGTGAACGAACCCGATGATGACAACACACCCCTCCTATCAGACTTCACCCCAGAGGACGAGCGCAGCCATATAAAACCACCGTTCTTCGATGATCCCGACTCTGGTCCGGCCGAAATCTGGCGGTGGGCTCATCAGGATGAAACTAAACAACAGTTCGTCTATCAGAAAAGCCGAGGGCCATTGCGTGAGTGGGGATACGTCATGTGGGATTCGCGGCGGCTTCATGATTTGGGCATCCTCCAGAAGACCTTTGACACTGAGGGTGCTTGGAATGCGTCACGTCTGGACTTGGATCAACAGGGCCGAGATCGAGCCGAAATGGCAATGTCATGGGAAGCGAGATCGAAAATATACATGGCTGGAGGACGAGGGTGGTGGAGCGTGGGAGATCATAGTAAAATTGTTTGGATAGGCGGGAAAGCCCCGCATGAACGCCCTTATACACGCGCTCATACCAAGCCGATTTCAGTTGAGGATGCTCGGGACATCCTTCAGATGATGAAGCTGCCGTCATCAGTAACCAAGTTTTTGGACCGTTAAGGTACTTAGGTAAGATCCCACCACGTTTGTATCGTTCAACAATGACAACATATTTCCCAGCGACACCATCGCTATCACTAGGAGAAGGGTACATTTTGCACCGTCTCCTAAAGCTTAGTGAGTAAAGTGAATTCCAAATTGAGGGATCCTGAATTTCATACTCTTTGTCTGCTTATACTTCATGATAGGCCCGGTATCGCTATAGTATAATTGGGTTATTTATATCTCAAACTTGTCAATGTCTGTTTCCCAGACGACCGGTATCTTCGACCAAATTTCATAGCGTTTGTTCTTTTGGAAGTCTTCACGTGCTTCCAGGTCTTGTTCTGATGAATTGATAAATTTGGACTTGCAATATGCGAGAGGGCGAGAGCAGCCACTGAGAGAATGCAAGCTTTAATAATACGCATGCTGGCAAAGAATTGGACTCAAGATATAGAAGACGTTTCCAGACTTAGAATAGCAAAGCTTCTATAGTAGAGAATGCCCCGCGTCCGGAATCTTATGGTGTAATGGCTGAGAATCATGGCGGGGCGCGGTGCTGTCCCATATATATGCATAATCCCCAGTCGAGAAACCGTAAACATGGGGTGTTAAATGAATCAGAACTATGGTCACCCGGGCACTATTCTATACTAAGCTTAGAAGTGGCCTGGGGTAACATACTTGAGCTGCATGCTGATTTTTCTAAGTTCTGTCCGCTGATTGAAGCTCTCAGCCACAAGTCTCAACTGCAAGTAACACATCTAGCTCACAACTTAGACATTATACCAATGACTAACCAATTGCTACAGCCAATAACTGCGCTTCTGGGGTTGAGGGGCGACCAATATATCTTTATAGCCTTGCCTAAAAGGCACACGATTAAGCAAGATATCGACTCATAGAGCAGCTTCATGAAAGGTTCAATGCCAGATCTTTAATTACATGAATGCAAACAGCGGTTCCTTTCCATCCACATGTTCCTCTCTGCCAGTGCTCTTCCTGATATGTCTAGTTGCGTACAGAAGTGGGACAAAACACAACTAACAACACGATAACCAACAGAGCGTTGCATTAGGCGAACAGAGAGACCAGGTTACGAAACGAGGCACACCAGCATATTTCCAAGTTTATAAAGTCATTAAGTCAAGGCTGAAAGGCAAAGCAAATATTAATAAACCCATAGTCTAAAAAGGGGGCTTGAAAATAAATCATAGTAATACTAAATAATATTAATTAGGAAGTTTACAGATTAACTTTTTTAAACTTATTATATATAGCTAGTGCTATTAAACTTTAAGCTTATAAAAATAGAATTAAGTAAATATATAAATTAAAAATTCTTTAACTTATATCTATTTTATTTTTATATATTGTATATTAGCCAGACTCTGAGAATATTTCCAACGCTCCTTATATTTAAATCTTCTCTTGTTCCTTAATAATAAGAGTTGCTCGGGCGATCTTGAGTCCGCTTATAGTGTTTCTACTACTGGTGCCAGTCGTGATTTGCAATATGATAGGTAGCCATTTCACCGCTAGATTAGCCATCACGATAGTATCGACGGCTGCATTTGTTTGTTGCATGTCTCTGTTAACAAATGCAAAAACTGTTGAGTTGGCTGTGGCTGGAGCAACGTGAGTCTCCTTTACCATGGTTTGAGGATGTACTAACTTCAGCGGCAGTTACATAACTGCTATGGTAGTTTTTGTTAGTAACACTGACTGAAATACTCGGTTACCTTCAACAACTACATACAGATTTCAATCTCACCATAAAGCATATTCTCGAACTAATCCATTGAATATGATAGCTAAGCAGCCAAGGACACAATCCCACCTCCATCGTCAACTTAAAGTGAGTGATCGTAGCCTGGTTCTCTAGATAAGGAGCATCAATAATCCGAGCCCATTCAATACAGTTACAAACCACGAGCTAAAGCAAGGTGTAGAAAAACATGCGCAGAACGGTGTGACAACTGAAACTCCGTCTAATTCAAGAAAATCGCATTTCCGAGAACTTGAACCTCTTTCGCTCTGTCATACCCCGTCGCTAGAGGTGATAGAAACCCCGATGCCATGCCGGTGGTGAAGCATGAGACGAAAACGGTTTCTGCAGCGGGGGCGCAAGGGGGAAATGCGGCTGCTGCCATCAGAGAAGCTATACAGCCACAAAAGGAACCCACAAAGGTCACAACTATGCCAGAGGTCCCAGTACTCTCAATTTCAGGTAATGAACCTATGAAATCGAGTTGTGGGCTTGAAAACCCTGAGTTCTCGTCGAGGTTGAACCAGACGAGATCCGTGCCTCGATGTCGGCTTCCGGTGATAATGAGCGGAAACAGCTCTGCCGCGAAGACGATAGGTGTGTCTATCACAATTGGATAGTAAGTTGGGATAATGAGATGAAAATTGACATTGCTGTTGTCACCAGTAGTTTCAATAAGTGCCTGTCTGTCTGCTCTCATTCTGACACAAATCGTGGCTAGGTCGTGATGGTAGCCACCAAAGTTGGGGCCGAGAGGATCCTCTCTCTGTATTCTCTCAAAGTCTGGATACCAATCGGTATCAGGGTTCCAGACGTAGAAGAAGTGGCTATCTCCCTTCGTACGCCCCTCGACCGGGGCCATTTCGTTACGAACAAAGCGGTGCACGTATGTCCCGAAGCCGTCATCAGCCCAGCCTTGAACCTTGGCTATGTTCAAAATCGCGAGCTCATCTTTAATACCATCGAGGCTTGCGCCGATTCTCTTGATAGACTGCGCGATGTCCAAAAGAATAAGAGGCACAGCAACCGTAGCAGCTGCTTGGAAGTATGAAATGAACGTCGGAGCGGAGTTGAATGCGTTGGTGACGAGCCGAATTCGTTTCTGTTCGATAATCTCAAGAAGCTTGGGGATGGCCTCCTGCATTTCCTTGTATGTCATCTCCTTCTGCGCTGCGGCCTTTCTTTCTTGTAGTTGAGTTGGAATAGCAACCAAGCTCGACACAACTTGTAGGCCATGTGTCAGAAGTAGTTCAGCGAGTTTCCCTGCACTGATTGTGCTGATGAGTCCAACTGGGTCCATCTTGACGGCGCGGTTAAAGACAGGGATAGCCTATTGCGTTGTAATGTTGAGGTTTGTTAGTGTCGCCGACTAGCTAGCTTTATCCTCAGTTAGTTCAGGACGTCAGATTTGAACATTAAATAGATGCGGTTTAAAAATGCCTTGTCGGTTTTCTCCTTTTCGTACAGCGCCTAGAGGGCCACGAAGAGGCTATAAGCGCCAGCCTCGCGCAACCTGGCCAGCAGGCCGTGGATGCAACCCTCTCAAGGACTCTTATCATTCTGAACACTTCTAGCTGAAAGGCTTTTTTATTATGCTGTGATCCGTTGGTTTTGAGCGAAATAACGGTGGCGGGCCATTCTATGGGCCAACACTGTTCCTGCGCGATGTGTCTGGCTAGTGGCGTCAACTCGGCCCCCAGAAACGGACGCTGGGCTCGCAAGGCGTATTCTCTCCCACAGGAAAGGGGGGCTTGGTAAGATCTGAATACGTACTGCACTTCCAAGTGTGGTCGAATGGCCACCTACAAGTTGACCGGGGGGCTGAAAGCCAAACTCGCTGGCCAACATATTGCAGTAATGCATCCATCAGGGAATCCCGGAACAACTATGCATTGGAGGCCTACAAACACTTGATTCACACTTGTAACTATACCATTGGGATGCAGCGGGACTTAATTGTGCCTCCCAGATGCCAGCAAGTGACCTGCAAGACACAGAGCAGAAAACAGGCAACCATTATTCGTTTTACCCTCGCAAATCTCGAAGGCTCCAAATTATTTTTTTTGACTAGTTTTCTCCGTGCACATGTCATATTGACTATCAAGGTTATCCATATCTAGGTAGACCCTGTTGTACACCAGCTTGTTGCCCTTGATTCCAGCCTTGATTCTGCCGTAACGTTTCATTGTGCCAGTAATCATGAACAGCTTGGTTTTTATCCGCCATCCTGGGCCATATTGACTCTGGTAAAACTGCTCCCGATGGTTGTTGATGTCCTTCTAGTGGTGCACTCTTGTCCGTCATTCTGTTCTGAGATCTCTCGGCAGCTCGCTTTCGCTTAGATTTTCGTCGACGGTCACATAGAATGATGCTCACGATGAGAAGCAACACACCAGCTACAACGGTTAGTCGTACTTGTGTGAATGAGATCGAGGACTTTTACCTAGCACACCAAGAGCAATGATAATCTCAAGTGCTCCAAAGATCTTGGTTCCAGGCTGACCAGGCGAGCCATTATCTGAGCTGCTTTCCTGTGTAACTGTAACAACAGGTGAATCTGCAGTTGTCGTACCCTCTGATTGGGCAGTTGGCTTAGGTACAATGGTTGTGAATATCGTGGTCTGTTCGACGGCGGAAATGATTCGCGAGAGCTGTAGATCCAAGGCCGCATCTTCCATATTCATTGAAGCCATTCGAATATCGTGTAAGAGACAAGAAACCGAAGAGTTATTTTGCGACACGTTGTTTATCGAAGGGAATGCTACCAGAGCTGAACTGTCTGAATTAAAATTAAAGAATTAATAAAAAAAGACTGTAAGAATGGAATTATCGAAATGAAAGTCGTGTCGCTTCGTGATACCAGATCAACGTGCGCAAGAAAAGAAAAGAACCAAAAAGAGCGAGTGTCTCGCAGATATGGAGTTATATTCCTCTCGTACATTTTCTGTTAATAAACACAGCCATAATAGCAGGTTGAGGCGAAACCGGGTTGTGCCTGAGGTGGCATTGTGAGACGGGAGATCAAACACGCCCGACCCCTGGTCACAGGCGGTTTCAGTGGATTTTTGGTAGAGCACCAAGCCGGCTGTCCTCTGTTCCGGCGGCTGCCTCTGTAGAGCTGACGCCCTGGTTTCGAAATGTCAGCTTGGCTGGACAGCGCCAAAACATGGAGAATCCCTTATTCTTCACCGCACATGATGGTGCTGAGATCTGGCATGGCTTGTGCTTGACAGCGGTTATCGGTTGTTCGGAACGCACTGTTTCCATGGTCGATTGATGGGCGGTGCAGGTGTCAACTGCGTCAGCTGTTTCATTTCCATCTTTATTTTAAGGTGTCGTTGGAAGAGAATTGAATGCTTAGAACGGGTAGAGTAGCACGCGACTTTTGGGTGAGGGACTGTAAACAGCGCCAAGACGGTCGTGTTTCTGCGTGAGGCAGGGCATCAACTTGGCAGAGATCCAGCCCTGTGAGCCTCGGATGAAGAGTCTCGAGGTCGTTACCGTAGCATGGTGCCGAATGATGGTGAGCATCCTTTGATCATTGCGTACCTTGAACTCAATGATATTTGAACACTTTGCGGCTTGCGGAAAATGGGAAGATGTTTACACGTGAGGCTTCGTATAAAGCGTGAAGCACAATGGGCTGCAGATGTCAGAAACCTCGTTCATGGACTAATTCGCCTTTCAAACACTGATAAACGTGATAAAATGATATATAAATATTATCTACACATACAGATTTTATAAAACCTCGAGTTACACTCCAGAAGGCGTCCAATTCATGGTCCGTCATCAATCTCATCACCATCATAGGGTAACTCCAACCATCACAAACTCCACATTGACCACCAGACGCTCTTTGCACGCTAGCTCAAAGACAGCAACAGGGTATATCAAGATATCGGCACTTTCGGCGCCCGATGACGAAGCGCATCATCTTGACTAAGTTTAAATTAAAGAACTGTCATTGGATCCCGGGTAAGCTTTCGAGAATATCCCCATCTTGAATCAACTACCGATCCAGACAAGCCGAACGAGATGCGGGGGCGAGCGGAGGTTTGCCTAGCCCAGAATGCGGAAGTTTGGAGCTGGCTGACTTCATTCTTCCGTCCTCGTGGTGATTCAATTGCTCAAATACTGCTCTACGGCTCGACTGATCAAACGAGTGTCGCGCTGTCTTTAAACACTCGCGCTTCTTGCGATCAAAGGTGAGCGTACACGACAGTGGAGAACGAACATCGCTAACCATCAGCAGCATCGCAATCTGTCGTCATGGCTGTTGTCGACATCCTCTTCACCTGGTGGTCAATCCCCATCGCCGCAGGTGTCCTCATCGCGACGTATCTCTACTCATACTTTGTGACCTACGGCCATCTGAGAGATATTCCAGCGCCTTTCCCGGCGCAGTTCACGAATCTGTGGCTTCTCTACATCTGCAGGCGTGGTGAACGATATCGTGTCGTGGATGAGATTCACAAGAGATTGGGTCCCGTCGTACGAATCCAGCCTAACCACACTTCCATCGCGGATCCTGATGCAATCGCCACCATCTACGGCCACGGAAATGGCTTCTTGAAGTCGTGAGTACCCCACAGCCTCACCTCTTCTCATAACTAATGGGCGGTAGTGATTTCTACGATGCATTTGTCTCAATTCGACGAGGTCTTTTTAACACGCGCGATCGCGCTGAGCACACACGGAAGCGCAAGCTCATCTCTCACGTCTTCTCCGCCAAGTCAATCAGCCAATTTGAGCCGTACATCCACGCAAACCTGGAGCTCTTCGTCAAACAGCTCGACAAACTTGTCGCATCAGGCCAGACTACAGATAAGGATGGAAAGCGACAAGCCCTATTTGACTGTCTCCCGTGGTTCAACTACCTCGCATTCGATGTCATCGGGGATCTCGCGTTTGGTGTACCCTTCGGCATGCTCGCAAATGGCGCCGATGTAGCCGAAGTTCGGGCGACGCCTGACAGCGCACCTATTTATGCGTCGGCAATTGAGATTCTGAACAGAAGAGGTGAAGTCAGCGCGACGTTGGGATGCTGGCCTCAATTGAAGCCGTATGCTCAATGGCTACCCGACCCGTTCTTCAGCAACGGCCTCAACGCAGTCAAGAATCTCGCTGGAATTGCGATCGCGCGCGTCAAGGCTAGATTGGATAACCCGCCATCCGTTGAGCGAAAAGATCTCCTGGCGCGACTCATGGAAGGCAGAGATGAGAAGGGTGAGCCGTTGGGTCGCGAGGAATTGACGGCCGAAGCCTTGACGCAGCTCATCGCTGGCAGTGACACCACGTCCAATTCGTCATGCGCTTTACTCTATCACGTCACACGAACTCCCGGCGTTCTCGAGAAACTCCAGGCCGAGCTCGACGAGGCGATCCCCGCTGACGTCTCGGTCCCCACGTACGACATGGTCCGCGACCTAACCTACCTCAACAACGTAATCAGTGAAACCCTCCGCTACCATTCAACATCCGGCATCGGCCTCCCGCGCCAAATCCCCGACAACTCCCCCGGCGTCACGATCAAGGGCCATTATTTCCCGCCCGGCAGCGTGCTCAGCGTGCCGACGTACACCCTGCATCACTCGAAGGAGATCTGGGGCCCTGATGCGGACGACTTCAAGCCGGAGCGCTGGGATAGTCTGAATGAACTGCAAAAGACTGCGTTTAATCCGTTTAGTCACGGGCCGAGAGCGTGTGTGGGCAGGAATGTTGCGGAGATGGAGATGAAGTTGATCGCGGCGACGTGGGCGAGGAGATACACGCCCGAGTTGAAGCAGGGGGTTATGGAGACGCGTGAGGGGTTCTTGAGGAAGCCGTTGGGGTTGGATATTGCTTTGAAGATGAGGTAGATTGTGTGATGTTCGCCAGGGGGTCTGTACGCAGGTAATGAGATGATATTTAGTCAATGCCAATCGTATTTCGCCCATTAGCGTACCTCGAAGATCTGATGGCCGTGGTGCCTTAGGTTCTCAATTACACCTCCGTGAATCACTGGCTTCCTTCATGAAAAGTGGAGACCGCATTGGGTCGCGCCATAACTTCCATTCTCATTCTGTGATGCTCAAAATGCAACCATCACCAACATCACCATCTACATCAACATCATGGACCCCAACATGCCCCCGCCTCCCAAGATCGACCGCCTTCTCGCCCTCCTGGAACGGTACCTGACTCCCAAGGGGTCAGGCCTTCCAGGAGGGACAGCGACCCAAGCCGACGTAGACGCGGCGCAGAAAGACTCTCCCGATAAAGGGGAGCCGGTCGGGCCTGGACCTTGGCCGACCTTTGAGGAAACTCCCTCCTCACCCGCCCGTAAGGGCTAAGCATTCTCGTGGCACCCGTCTTAGACGGCGGTCCTCTTTTTTGGCGCTCCGGTATTTTCTTTTTTGGAGAGCGAATTGGTGTTTTGGCTTCGCCTCTCCTTTGATAGCTCTCCCGGGAGCTGCGGCGGCCGCCTTGCCCGCGCGGAGGTAACACCAAAAACACAAGGCATGCGATCTTATTTACCTGAAAGCACTGAAAACACTGGGTAGACTAACCTTTCACAGACCACGTACGCTTTACGTACGGCATATGCCACCTGACAACCTCCGCCTCAGGCCATGACCTACGAGCTCTTCTGCAACACCGATAACTCCGCTACTAAATCTGAGAACCTTGCGATGCTCACGCCATCAACCTTCACATGATACACGCGGCGCAGCTTCTCAAAGATATGTTAGTCATTCCATTTGTTTCCACATATGAGTGCGTGAGTGACTAATCGAATCCTCAGACCCCAAGCGTGACGGAGAATGCGGAACAGCAACAGCTGCCGACTACCCAGAATCTCAATTCGGACGAAGATTTTCCTTTTCCTAATTGGAAAAAAAGTTACAGGCTTCGCCTCTCCTTTGATAGCCCTTTCCAGCCCTGCTCCCACTACAGTTGATGGCCATCTACAGAGCAGCGAAGCTCCAGAGTTATGTCAGATCATCAACGCCCCAGAGTCGCCCGGTGAAGGCTTCGCTTTTACTCTGAGGAGGGGCTCACTTCAGCATATCATGAATTGTACTCGCATTTACATCAACTCGCAGTCATCCACACATCCCAGACGAGCCTTTAGCCACCAGGGAGACAGCGATAGGCCCGAGAATCACCACCATCATGACGGCTGGAGTTGAGGCATGGCACCCCATGGCACCCCAGGGCACCGGCCGACTATTCTTAATGATGTTGGGGTTGTCTAAGAGTGGATGCGGATGGATATTGGTGGTTTTGGAATGGAGTTGGAAGAGCTGGGCTAAGAACGATGGATCAGTGTTGTTCATGCCAATGATGGTTATGTGGGAGGTGACTACATCGTGCATATAATAGTTAACGTTAAAATTAGTAAGATTATCATTCTGATTGTCATTCCGGTGCTAGAAATGGTATTTGTGAGAGTGCATCCAACCAATGCCGAAGTAAACAAGAGATAGGCTCCTGACGATGGCGCAACCGATTGTCAGCAGTCCCCATGGCGACACTCATGAAAACTGAATTATCTCAACGTAATATTACTCGATGAACTTCGGGTGGTGGCAGTAGAGTGTACTGAAGCCGAGAGGCTGGATTGTGATGTTGCTCCGTGGATTGCTTTCTTGCGGTTTATGTTTGCTAATTGTCCTTTACTCTTCTTTTGTCATATTTTTGAAAGAGAATGCCCTCAACTGTTGCCTCACCGACAACCTTGAATATTAACTTGACTTATAGGAGTCACGATAAATGGTCAACTTGATGTTGGAAACTTCCAAGCTTGGGGTCTGATGTTAATGAACATGAGTTGTATAGAAGTTTCGTAGTCGCGTGAACTGGACCTCCGATGAGATCACAGATGCGGGATATACAGGGATTTCTTAAGTTCAGGTATACTTAAATGTGTGTATCTCAATTCACGATCCCACAGTGTAAAAACTCCCTTGGTAATGATATGTTTAGTAAAAAGCCAGTTTGTGTTGCGTTGACCATAGTGAAGCAGCAGTGGAGGTCGACGCGCGAGGGGTCATTCAGAAAGCCACTGAGGTTGGATGTTGCTTCAACAAAGAAATAAATCTAAATTGAGGAACGTTCTTATGGAAACTGTCGCTGCTGGCTGATAAAGTGATATATGAGCCGGCAAACTGACGCAAAGTGGCGGGAAAAGTTTGCTGAGGATCAGTGAGGAGAGGTCTATATAACAAAAACACACCTCATGGTTTCAACCAACTGGCCCGCGTGGCCTAATGGCTAAGGCGTCTGACTGTAAGCCCCCACTTTCACGAGTGCGATATTCGAAAACTAACCTCCCCATGGTCTATGTACGATTTCTGAAGAGATCTGTGTGTAAATCAGAAGATTGCCAGTTCGATCCTGGCCGTGGGCTCTCATTTAATTTTTTAACTTGTTTTCTTATTTGGATCGCAAGTAATCGTTGTTTTGCTGTTCTGGTGATGATTTCGTGTCGTTCTGAATTTTGGGTGCGGGCGCATGCGGCACAGATCGTGGGGTGGGCGGGAGACCCACATCTTTATTTTTCAGCCTTGCGTTTTCATTGGGCGCAGCAAAGCTTGGCTGCCTTCGCCACGTGATGCTTCGGTCCAATCCCAGCCTCGTCTGTCTCCTTCCGTACCTTTATGCACTGCCTCTGCATGAACCACCAAATTATGGAGATCTTGGGAAAACAAGTCTATTGTTCTATTTGAGCTCAAGCTCTGGGAATTATTTTGCAAAAGTGAGTCCCCACCAAACAGTGGAAAATGGGATATTCTAAATCGAGAGAAAACAACAACTCAAAGGCGCGATCTTGCCCTTACTTTCCAATCGACTGCAGTTGATTTCTGTACCATGTCTGAGAAGTATTAGCATTTCCACCAATTTATCTTGAGAAGGACTCACAATTTCAACACCGGATCCAATGCTCTTGGGTCCAATCTGCTTCAGAATCCAAGGCGTATGGATCCTCTTCGCATAAAGCTTCGCATCCTCAGTCTTAACCTCCTTGTTCAAAATGATACTCGCAGGCAAAGAGGGATTGATGATCGAAGGCCTGCCAATTCCAATCAGGTCGCAAGCACCTTGGCTCAAAGCATCTTCTATACCCGCTCGCGTGCGGAACCCGCCAGTGACCATCAGCAGAACCTTTGGAAACTTGGCGCGCACCTCATGGGCGAACTCGAGGAAGAAAGACTCTCGCGCAGCTGTGCTGGCGGCTTTCTTCTCCCCAGTTCCGGTGAACATCTGGGAATGTTAGAAAGACCTTACAAAATGTGTTGTCTGGCTTACAGTGGGATTTTCATAGCTTCCGCCGCTAACTTCCAAAAAGTCCAAGCCGACCTCTGTGATGAGAGAAATCTGCTCCAGACACTCTTGAAGCTCAGTAGGAGATTGATGGTCCGCAGAGTTCATTTTCAGGCCGACGCAAAAGTTCGCGGGTGTCGCTGCTCGGATTGCCTTGACGACGTCGACGATGATCTTAGCTCTAGCTGCTGCTGATCCTCCATATGCATCAGTTCGCTTGTTGGACTTTGCAGACAGGAACTGAGACAAGAGATATCCGTGAGCGGCGTGGATCTCAACTCCATCAAAACCGGCAGCCGCTGCGATTCGGGCTGTGTTAGCGAATCGCTTCACCACATCATCAATGTCCTCAAGGGTCATCTCCTTGGGACAGCCAAAGACAAAGGTCGACACGATCTTTGAAATAATGTTGTTTCCCATATCTAGCGGAACAGCACTCGGGGCGATATTCTTATCCAAGAATGATTTGCTGCCAGCTCCAAGAGGCGACTGTCGACCCGGATGGTTGATTTGCATCATCGTCGGCGTCCCCTTTCTTCGACAGATACCAACGAATCTCTTATACGCCTCAAGGACTTTTTCTTCGGGGAGATTGCCATTGATGGAGCAATCAGCGAACCCACCGAGGTAGCGTTCGTCGATCTGAACATTTCCAGTCAAGATCATGCCCCAACCTCCATCAGCCCAGGCACCGTATGTACGTTCCATCTGCTCTGTTGTAGGAAGATTTTGGCGATCAGCCATTTCCTCGGCGAGGGCTGCCTTGACGAGGCGGTTGGGCAGCGTGAGGCCGCATGGTAGCTGAAGAGGTTTTGAAACGAGTAGGTCTGTCATGATGTCGGGTTGAGTCTATGGTTTGTGAGGTGAAGTTGGCTGATCTCAAGTTGTTAAATATGAAAATCGCCATTAGTCGTTGAGCCGAGGCCCGTGTCCGCGGACGGAGTGGACTATTGCCCAAAGGAGAAATAGCTCCAGTAGACTCGGCTGGTCTTTGCTCCGATTCCATTTCCTTTGGCGAATTAATTGATCCGTTCTATATTTGAGTCGGAATTATTTCAGACTATTTAGCTGATGATATATGGAGAAGTTTCTGATTTTGCCATGCTGTTGAGATAATTAGGTGCTTACGCTTACATGGCAGCCTGCAGAACCATCTTATAGACCCGCCTTCTGCTATCAGCCTGTACATGACCCATCAGCGCGTCTAGAGCCTAATTAACAGGCATAATTATGAAGGGATAATAAATAATTAATTCTAGATCACCTTGAATGGTATTAAAAGACTTTGAATTAAATTCACGAAGCAGTGTTCAAGGTCGCGATTCGATATGTGACTGCTTTTTGCTGGGTCATGAAAGATGATGACAGCTCGGAAGCTAAACTTGATCTGATCGCTTCGCAACGTTAATCATTCGATTTAAGTTGTTTGATATTCTGATCATTTTTGCAATTGGCTAGAAAGTGGTTAGAAATTAATTTAATTCGGCACCTCTTTGTCCCGACTCCTCTTCCTTTCGAGAACTAGACCAGGGCACCTCATAGGCACCATATAGCATACGAATGACGAGCATCATTGAATCATGGGAACATAAGAATCGCCATGCAATTTCGTATGCATGCCAATTAGTCCATTGGAAACATTACGGCTTCCACGTCATTCCTGAATCTTGAAATGGACTTAGAAAGGAAATGGCACCTTGGGAACATACAGCTCCTCGAGATACCTGATCTCCTCGTCGCTCAGTGTTACTTGAAGGGCTTCCACTGCCTGATCGATTCTTCCTTTACTCTCCAAGCCGCATATAGGCATGCAGTCCTTGGAAATCAGCCAGGCCTGCGCGATCTGAGCCATGGCGACACCCTTCCTCCTGGCCAACTCCTCAACACGGTCAACAATAGCTTTGTCAGCGTCTTGGGTTTCTCCACGGAAAAGAAGCTTGAGAAAGGGATCCTTCTGCACTCGGCCATCTGTTCTGTCGGTCCAGGGATGTGCAAGAACTCCTGCGGCAAGTGGAGACCAGGGGAAGAGGTCAATACCAGCGTAGTTGCAGTAAGGATTTATTTCTCGTTCTTCCTCACGGTAGAGAAGGTTATATAGACCTTGCATGGAGATGAACTTGTGCCAACCGTTTTTCTAGGCAACATTCTGCAACATCTGAAATTCCCACGCTGCCATCTTGTCAACTGTTAGCTTTTGTGAAGAATATCGTGGCCGAGGTCAACATACCGAGCTGGCGCCAATGTACCGAACCTTTCCGCTTTCGATTACATCATTGAGTGCTTTCATAATCTCCTCTGGCGGAACATCACGATCCATCCTGTGAATCTGCAAAACATCGATGTAGGTTCCCAGTCGTTCGACGCTCTGGTTCACCGCGTCAAGAATGTGTTTTCGAGACGGGCCAACTCTGTTGACTCGAGGACCACCATTACTGGTGAGAGTTGCAGGATCTATAGGGCCCTTCTCCTCATCGACAAACTGGAAGCACTTGGACATGATGACGAGCTTCGAACGAGGAATGTCGTAGTGTTTGATAGCCGCGCCGAGGATCCTCTCTGATTCTCCATTTGAGTATGTATCGGCTACATCCCACGTGTTGATGCCATTGTCGAAGGCATACTTGAGGACGGGAAGAGCTTCTTCCCTCTCGAGAAGCCAGGGCTGTCAGTTCTTGTCGCCGAAGCTCATACATCCCAGGATGATCTGGGAGGCTTTAAGACCGGACTTGCCAACTCTGAAAGCTGTATTAGTCGGCATGTCCAGGAAGAGAAGGGAGTTTGAGATGCTCACCGGACATATTTCATTTCGGACGTCATGATAGAAACGAATTTAACGAACTACTCTTGAATGATTACTGGTGAAAGATACTGTGTGACAAATCCAAGATGACAGTAATGCCACTGACTTATATATCTGTTCATTCTACTAACTTATGAGGCAATATATTCAAATCATAATTTTAGCTGCACGTCGAGGATTAGCAGAATAAGCCAAGTGCATGTATCGCCACTGGTAGAACTCTCATATCTCAATACGCGTATAGACGTAGAAAGTCTAAACTAACTAGTGAGAGCTGATCCGGTCTGTATGACGCTAATGCAACCGGCTTATCCCCCACTCGCATCCGCGGACTTTAGGGGCGACGGCATTTCTCTCTCTCAGATGCTTAAAATATGCGAGTGGCTTATGTTCCGAGCATTGGACAGTGCATTAGCCCCACCGTGGGCTCTTAATTGTATGTACAGCGTCATTGTGGATTGCTTCGTTTTATCTCCAGATGGATTTTAATCTTAACTCCGTAGCTTCATCGACAGAGGGGATGAATGAATAAGTATTTGTATGGAGATAATGCTCCCAGAAAAAAAAGACTTGAATCATAGCTCGAGCCAGAACTCACCAGCATCCCTTCAACGAATAATCACCCTCAACCTTTCAACCTACCTCCTTCTGTCAAAATGGTCAAAACTATTCCCTTTGGCGACATCACTGTCCAATCACCTGGCTTTGGAGCCATGGGCATGAGCTTTGGTCTAGGATCCAACCTATCTCTGGAAGAAGCCGAACCCGTCCTGCTCAAGGCCATTGAGCTGGGTTGCACATTCTGGGACACAGCTGTATGTCGAAGCAAACCAGTAATAGGTTACCTTACCTGATATACTGACCTTTCTCACCAGGTAGTCTATCAAGCTGGCGTCAACGAAAAGCTTCTTGGAGACTTTATCAGAAAACATAACGTCCGAGACAAGGTGTTTAGTAAGTCAACAACGGGTCCTCAATGACTTTGAATCTTTGATTTCGGAACTGGCTATAACTTGAGCACTTGCTGATTGGTGCTACGATTGTAGTCGCTTCAAAGTGTGGTTTCGATGTCTTGGGCAAGGGCGGAGTGACCAATTCTGCCTCCCATATCAAGGAGTATATCGACGGGACCATCGAACGACTTGGCTTTGCCCCTGACCTGTACTATCTGCATCGAATCGACCCCAGTAAGCTTTTCTCTTGTCTTGTCCCTGAAAGATATTGACTCACGTATTTTAGATACTCCCCTCGAAGAGTCCATTCCCACGCTTGACGAGATTCGAAAGCAGGGAAAGACAAAGTACATTGGTTTATCTGAATGTTCCGCCAACACCTTGCGCAAGGCCAATTCTAGTAAGTTCATCGCTAGACCCAGTGAACTTGGCTTACAAGATATAGTTGCCAAGATCGATGCTGTCCAAGCCGAATACTCGGCCTTTGAGACACTGCACGAGACCGATGGTCTTATTGATACAGCGAAAGAGCTTGGCATCGCCTACGTCGCCTACAGCCCACTTGGACACGGCTGGCTCGTCGACGACTTTCCCTACAAGAGTCCAGATGATTTCGCACCCGACGATTTCCGACGAACAGGTACGTTTTCCTACTGCAGCTGCATGTAAACCCTTTTCACTAACATGCCATCCAGTCCCCAAGTTTCAAGGCGAAAACTTCTACAAGAACAAGGCCATAGTAGAGGAGATCAAGAAACTTGCTGTGCACAAGGGATGCACTTTGACGCAGATCGCGCTTGCTTGGGTTGCGTCCCAGGGAATGATTGCAATTCCTGGTACAACGAAGGCGCACCGTCTGGAGGAGAATTGGGCATCTAGGAATGTTGACTTGACTGAGGAGGAAAAGGCTGAGATGAGGAGGATTATTGATTCGGCAAAACCCCAGGGAAATAGGTACAGTGCTACTCACCAGGCTTTGGTTGGTCACTAGACAGATTGGTACATTGGTAGAGTCAAAATAGCAACCCTAACTTCTCACTGGGAACCCAAGTTCCGCAGATACTGGATAAATGCACGATTCTCAGTGGACAGTGGACAGCGACGTCATTACCACTCACTCCACTATAATGGGCGCTAAAATTTACTCAACTCCCACTGAAAGGTAATCCCAGTGTCTTTCCCTGATCAACCCCGCCCATTCATTCTCGGCTGAGAGAGCAAACATCACTGCTGCGTGTCATTAATTGTAATTGACCATTGCGGGGTTCACACTGGACTTAGACTATCGATAAGAATGGATTCGAGCTTAGCGGTCAAGGATCAAGATGTGCTTGCAGGCCTTGATCGTTTCAAGCCTCTTCCCGACCTCCGCACCCACGCAGGCGACTGGACTGGTGTAACTTCGAGGCGCGAGAGGAAACGAAGACAGAATAGGCTCAATCAGAGAGCATGGCGTGAGTATGGCCAATGAGATGGCGATATGACTTTGCTGATACCTAGACCACCGATAGGCCGGAGAAAGGCTGCTCAGGATACATCAGATGGACAGACTACTACAGCAGCATCTACTCGCACTTCTTATGATGGTTTGGTGGTGTTGAGAGACACTTGCTCTTCAATGTTCTCTGGATCACCGGCTATTGGCGATGGTATCCTACTCATACCCGATACATGCAAGGCAGAGAGACTTCGAAACTTGATACGGCAGTCTCTCGAAGACTATTCACTAGAATCACTACAAACCCCGCGCCCATCCAACTTACACATAATCATCCGCCTAAATGTCCTGAACGCCATAGCCGACAACGCCACTGCAATCGGGTTTCCAAAAGAAAGTCTATGTCGCAATGAGTTCATATCGCCCTTCTACCAGATCGGCCTAATCCAGACACCCTCACCCAGCTGTCCCACGAGTCTTCAGCCAACGTCGCTGCAGCGCTCGACCGCACATCATCCCTGGATAGACCTGTTCCCTTTTCCAAATTTCCGCGACAATGTTCTTCGTGGTATGCAGAAAGGATTGTTTGATGATGATGAGCTGTGCGGTGATCTGCTGGGTGTTGAAGGAGGAGGAGTGGGAGAGCAGCCGTCGCTGTTGGTATGGACTGTCGCCTGGGATGCAAAGGGCTGGGAAGTCAATGCGGCGTTTTTGAAGAAATGGGGAGGCTTGATTGAAGATTGTCCTGAGATCATGGAATCGACGAATTATTGGCGGACAAAGAGGGGACAGCCCGCGCTGACGTTTGATGTTGATCCCAGGACGGGTCCATGAAATAGGAAACACTCTGCCCGAAATCGATCATGGTGCATTCTGAGATTCCTTGGGAGAATATGAACTGAAAATGGTCTGAGAAGTACTGTTACTCCTTGGAAGCTTCTAGTTGTATGAGCTATCCCTCTTGGTATCCGACTGCGCTGTTGGAGAAGACCCCGGCTCGGTCGCCTGACCTCTTTCTCTCATCCCTCCCTGACCATTGTCACCCTTTAGCACGATATCATCTACCAAGAAGCTCGACAGCAGACACAAAGCCATGAGGGGTATTGTTGTGATGAAGATGACTCGAAAGCCTTGCATGCGCGCATCGATGATAGCACCTTCAAATTTTGCAGTTTTGGGGTCCCCGACAACCCATGTGCCATCCAAGACGCGGTCATGAAGCCATTTCGGCACCGCACTGGCTTGTGAAAGGGCTTTATTCAGAGTAGCATAGTATGCAGCTGTGGACACAGCGGTACCAACGACGCCACCGAGAGAACGAAAGACGTTGCGGGTTCCGGTCGCTACAGCACGGTCTTCATCTGCAGAGTTGGCTTGCAAGGCAACAAGACCTGAGTTGGAGTTAGTCAATCGGGCCAATTGCCAGTCCATCGTCAAAGATAGCGCTCGACATACCTGGCTGATGGACCCATCCTATTCCTGCTCCTTCAACAGCTAGAACTACTACGTAGACAGCGACATGAGTGTGCTCATTGAATAGAAGCTTGAGGGCGGCACCGATCGTCCAGATCGTGAAACCAGTCCGCAAGATGGGCATGTATCTATAAACTAGTCAGAAACATCATTGTCGTGTCAATAATGGGCCTACTCACCTTGCATACCGAGCCATGATGGGCCCGGAGGCAGCGCCAGCAAGTCCTTGCGCGAGCAAAAACGGCACAATGAGCGTCGCGCTCTTCAGAGGCGTGAAGCCACGAACAGTTTGGTAGTATAGAGGAACGAAGTACTGCGTGGACTGCCAAGCGAAGTCGTGCAAGAAGCCTGTGAGGATGAGCACAGCTGGGGATCTCTGCCTGAACAGCCTCAGGGGAATGATGGGGATTCGAGCAAAGAAAGCCTCAATTATTACGAAGACGAGCAGCATGATGACGCCAATAGTGAGGATGGAGATGGTCTTCACATTCTTCCAGGCCCACATACTGCCTCCAGAGTTGATCGCCATCTATGTCTATCGTCAATAAGGTGCGACTGTTGTGATGCTCAGGATACTTACAACTGTCAATACTATTCCTGCTATGGAGGCCGCCACTCCCAGCCAATCAATCTTGCGAGCTTTCTCCTTGAAACTACCAGAAACGGGCTTCAGAGGCAGGAGTAGCAGAAGAAGCACAAAGCATACGGCTCCCATTATCGAAGGGACCCAGAACGCCCATCTCCAGCCGTCGGTGGTCCGCTGTATCAGCCCAGCAGCGACGAATGGACCAGAAGAAGCTCCGATCCCAATGGCAAGACTTATAAATCCTTGATACTTCCCTCGCGATCTCAGGCTAACGAGATCACTGACGATGATAGCCACTGAGGAGCTTATGCCACCACCACCAATGCCGCTGATTGTGCGACAGACGTACAGCCAGACTGGAGTGCGGGCGAATCCGCAGAGCAGACCACCTACCACTATGCAGCCAATTGAGAACAACAAGATAGGCTTTCGTCCAGTGATATCGGATATTCTGCCATAGAGTGGCTGAAATGATAGTTGGCCGAGAAGGTATGACGTTCCAACCCACGTAACAGTTGGACCAGCATCGAGAGCCTCAGATATGGTGGGCAATGATGTTGCGACGGAGTTCATGTCAAGATATGAGATGAAATAGCAGAAACAGAGACAGAGGTAGGCGAGAATGAGTCGGAAGAATGGTAGGCGCCGTGACTGATCTTGGAGCTCTCCATCTCCGCTGTTGCTTTCGGTGTCGGGGCCACCTGGTTGGTCTAACGTGCCAGGAACAGAGTCGGCAATCGTACTTTTCTCGACATGACTGGGAGATTGCTGATAATTCTGAACTGTTACAGGCTCAATTGCGTCTATTTGTGGCAGCGAGGTCATGATGGAAATGGCCTCGAGGTTGAAGGCGAAGTTTGGAAAAGAGGAATGGAAAGCGGCTCACCATTGCTATAAGCTGAGTTCCTGTCGGAGACTAGGGCATCTCAGATTGGTTGTAGGAGACAAGAAGTGGATTTACTTTGTTACCAATGAATATTTGCCTGATCGCTCATCGAATCATTTGTCTTGGAGATGTGTTTCCGTGTTGCCAAGATGATCCTTCGGAAACCCCTCACGACAGATCATATCACGGCCCTGCGGTGTCGGCAGTCAATTGGCATGAATTGAGTCACATGAAGTCCAGACAATTTGATTTACTGGTATGTCAAGCCCATGATATGCTTTTTCGAAGCATAACAAAAGACCTCTAGCCTTGTGAGAAATTAAGTAGGGAAAAAATGCGCAGACTTATTAGGGATCAGAGGTGTCCAAGTAATTCCGTTTTCCCTTGCTGTTTAGTAATAGTTAAGCAGCCACGGACGAAAGATTGAGTATACAAGTCCCAAAAGTCGGAGACATGTAATAGAAAGTAATTTTCATCAAATTCGGTCAATACTATCTCAAGTTACGGTGCCTCATGAAGTCCATATATCGTCCGTATCTTGTTCTCATCCCCAAGCTCTCCAGGCTTTTGCGTATCCCACAGTTCAGCTACATCCCTCGTGCTGTCAAGCTCTGAACTTCCTATCTGCAATATTTGCGTACTGGCCAGCTCAGCCTTTGAAAAATCAGACTTCTCCATGCTGGCTACTCGCTCCGTCGCTCGTCTACGCGTGAAGCGTCTCCATAGACATAAGACTACAGCACCAGAAATTAACAATCCCGCAACTGTGACACCAACTGAAATTCCCACCAATGCTACTGTCGATAAACCCGGGTTGCTTTCTGTCTTTGCCACTGAATGATGAGTTGTCTCTGTAGAACTTGTCGAGGTTTCTGATGCTTGAGACGCTGTCGAAGCTGGTGTTGAGTTTGTCGCAGACGATGCTTTGAGCTTTTTGGAATTTGTTCCTGAGATATTGAAGGATCCGGAATTTGCGAGTGGAATATCCTTGTCCGAAGAGTATAGCGCAAAGTGAAAGACAGTGTCTTCAGTCTCTTGAGACAAACCAGTCGAACTTGCGTTCCAAGCGAGTGAAGTCTCAGTTGTATTTTCTACGTTTCGTTAGCCACGGAAATCAGAGACATATCGTGGATATTTACCTATCAATCTGCTGTACCATTCAACCGCCAATTTTGGGTAGTCTTGCCATAGGAAGAGATTGCAGCCTTCATGATCCGTTTTCCATTTTATCTCAATTTTGTCGTTCATCCCGTACACTTGATTATCGGACCACGGAGCACTTGATAATTCAGGTGTAATGAAGTCGGAACTACACTGCACGTGGCCTGCAAACGCAATGACAGCAAGATATGCTGAGAAGAGGCCAAACATCGTAACAGCAGCTCAGCTTGAGGCTCAGAATATCTGAGAAAACATTTCAAGAGGGGAAACAAAAAGATAAAAATCCCATGCTGCGCCTCAATGCACTTCTTAACAAAACTTCTTCGTTTGTCAGATTATAGACCCTTGTCCCGCTAGCCAGCCTCCCTGGACAGCACAATGCCACGATGTTAGGCCTGGAACTCGATGCGAGGTGCAGATGGATGAGTAAGCAGCCAGCAGACCAACGAATAACCATGATGGTTTATGAGCGTTGGATTTAGGTGCATGTAATGACGCACTTGACTTTGGATAAACCGTTGAGTAGCCAATAGAGGCTCAATGTTTTATAAAACGGTGGGCTCAGGAAGCTTCAGAAGGATCAGAGGCTAGTAAGGATATCCTTAGGCGGTAAATGATTTTCGAAAGCCTCGATTCTAAGCCACGTTTTCCCCAAATATTTTGACTCTATCGCTCTAGATGTGATCATAGTAAGGCTGTCGACTTTTAGCAACACAGATGAAGAAGCCAAGAACAGCAAAATAATTACAAAGAAGAGGGATGACAAATAAGACAGCACGACTTCCCCTTGAAGAACCAAGAAAAAAGGCAAGGAAAGCTCCCAGACAGAGCCCTGGTAGGACAAGATCGCGATCCTTGGCATCGTATAGCAAGAAGGGGAAACATAAAACAATAGCTGTTAATAAAGTCCATAGCCTCTCTCGATATGTCGACCCCAGGGCATAGGCAATGATGAAGCTTGCGGTGGCGTACAAAAGGACCGCCATACAGAAAGCCCCTTTATCGAAGTGGTAGTATAGTCCATCATAACGAATAGTGTTTTCCAGGCAAATAAAAACAACAAAGTGTATGCCTTCTACAAGACGCAATTTGTGCCTCCACATCCATCGCCATACACTAAAGTTTCCTTGGGGTAGGGGATTCTCTGCATCAGATCCCTCCGACGATATAGGAACCGGTCCTCCAGTGAGAAGTAGCTGAATCTCATCTTGCAACTCTATGTCAGTGAGATTTTCCCAAATTATGCCAGCAGACATGAATTGTTCTTTGATTCTGTCAGTCATGTTCAGAAGACTCTTCCACCCTTCAGGCGATGATGCGATATCATTTCGTTGTAGCGTCAAGTGTGCGGTTGTCCATAATACAACAAGGCCAATACTCCACGAATGGAGAATGACAACCATGACAAATAACTGAAGAAACGAGAATCCCCACTGATATTCGATAGATTCCTATACATGTCAGTTTTTTGGTGAAATTCGTAATGCTATGAACATACTCCATTTTTTATTGGTTGACATATCCCCTCAGCTTGGACGTCCTTCGCATTGTATAAATCTTCTTCAACAAGGAACGTCAATGCTGAACTGTTTGGATAAGGATTAAAAGGTGCTGGAGATGCAGAGTCGGTATGGTTGGCCGTCCAGTTCCAGTAAAATGAGTTAGGAAGATAGAACGCCTCGACGTTGAGGGGAGGCCATTCCAGCGTCTTGTTACGGAAACGTGATTTCTGGCCGTGCTTGGTTCCGTGACCACCCTTTCCCTCAAATCCATAACGCTGAATGTCTTGCGAGCAGTCAGTATCCATACCCTGTACAAATAGACTTGTGGGCACATACATTCTGAGACATCTCTTTGCAGCTGGCAGTCGGCTTGCACGTTGTTGACGTCTTCCCACTCATCACACGTTTCATAGAACTCCGTAGAAGATCTTGAAGTTATTGTTGAGTCTGAAGAATCTGTAAGCTTGTATACATAAGCATGTGCCTCGCAAATCGTCTTACTGCCTTTCCATAACACGGGATAGTCTTTGCTAAGGGAATCTACTCTATTCCCATCTCGTATCACATACGCGACAGGAGCGATTGACGGAAACAGTATAAGCTTTCCACTGGTGCTATTAACATAAGCCTTGTTATACGGCGTATATCCGGTCATTGAGCTGGCAAACGTTGGGAAAGCAAGAATGAGCAATGCTGTCCAAATCATGAAGCACATGACCTTTCTGGATGCGAGGCCAACCTTGAAGAAGCCAGCGGCCAATCTCCAGGTTGCGAGCGCGGAGTTGTCTTTCTGGAACCTGATAAGCCACACTGTGCTATAAGCCGCCGGCTTCGTAATCAGAGAGAGCTGGAGATATTCGACAAACACTCCCCATGATACTAGAGCCATGAGTGTTTGGCCCCCTCGGCCTACAACCTATAGCTCTACGTTAATCTTCTCAATTTCAAATTAGCCTTTGCTGTGGTTACTTACCAAGTCCCAGATAACGTCAATGAGCTTTGCGGTCCCGAAACTCAAGCGACCCCAGCTGAGTGTGATCTGGAAGAATCCCCTAGGTGCCCACCAATCGAACCTTCCAGGCCGATCTATCCCACCGAACCGAAACTCTCCATCTGGCTGGCAGGGGCTTTCTTCATCGCTGAAGCCCAGTGGCAACAGGCATAGATAGATGAGTAAGCCGAGGACAGATAAGTTCCAGCAACTGACCCAAAGAACCTGTCGGACGAGACTCAATTCGAATGGTCGATTGCTTTTGTGGGGTTTTCCAAAGAATTTCAGATCATAAAAGGCGTCCTTGAATGCCTTGGTTACTGATGATTCGTCAGATGGTTTGTAGCCGAATGTTCCTCTCCAAGTTGAGACTTTCTGCGACAAGGGCTGCTTTGGTAAATCTGGCTCCGTATCAGCTTCCGCGTCACAACTGAGTAACAATGGTCTCGTCGTAGTAGCCATTGTAAGCTTTTCACTCCCGGTCGGCAGGCAGATGACAGATGAAAGATTGAAAACCGAAGCCAGAAGTGCGAGAGCCTGATTTAATACAAAACTACCATTACCATCCTTCTAGCTCACGCTATTTTTAACTCCCTGCAGTTCGAAGTCTCAAGCTGCTCTTCCATTCGCCATAATGCAAGCCTGTCTTACTGCAGTGTGTCAAGGTGGATCGATGTAGTTCTCCAAACCAATCACGCACTCTCGACACTGATCAGGCTGTGATAAGAACCCCGCCATTGGTTGTTGAATACTACTTCAACTGCATATTCAAGCCTATGATGTATGTGGTGGCTAAGTATTGGCAAATGAAACCCATATCGTAGTTACCAAGTTCAAAATGGACAGTATGTAAGACAATACACCACGCTGTCACGATCAGGTCTTTGTTTGAAATAGTTATGGCCATTAGATCATAATCATACTCCTACGTAACTACATATAACTCCTATTGTACATTGAAGACAAACACACTACTTGGTGTTGATTAAACCTTGGATATAAGCAGCATAGCCAACATAATATTTGTTCAAAATATCATTCCTCCTCATGAGTGAGTGACTCATCGGGGTCCAGGAAAAAGTTCCTTATCCTGAGTGCCCCCAACAGCATTGCTACCCTCGATATGGCTGGTGTCAGGCTTCTCGTGAGGGTAATGTCCGTCATTGGCAGTAAACTCATACAGGGGAGGGAAAGGAGCAACATCCTTGCGCAAGATGTACTTCTTGAGGTACCATGGCAGCTTCCTCCAGTAGTACGAAGCATGCTCTCTGTTAGAGACACCAAAGACGTTGTCGAGTTCCTCAAGTGTCAGATTCTTGGTCTCAGGGAGGAGGAAGTAGCAGAAGATCCAACCAAATATGTTCCAAGCACCATACCAACTAAAGGCACCGGTGTTTGAGAATGCTCTTCGTAGAGCTGGCCAGGTGAAACTAATGATGAAGTTGAAACCCCAGGTGATAGCCGTACTGGAAGCCATGCCAATGTCTCGAATGTGTAGAGGGAAGGCCTCAGCGCTGTAGGTAAAGGGCACAGGTCCAAGACCGGGAGAATAGACTGCCATGAAGAGATAGAGGCCCAAAGTTATGGTAGCGATCTTCGGGTCACGGGGTTCGTCCGCAAGTTGGAACACTCCACCGGTGAAGAAGAGACATGCTGCCATAAGAGGGAAGGTAACCAGAAGGAGGTTTCTGCGTCCAAAGGTATCAATAGTGTAGATTGCAGGGATGGCGAAAAGGAAGTTGATGATGCCGCCGCCCATGGATACGAGGAGAGCTTCAGACAGGCTATAGTTTGCATCGGTAAAAATGGAAGTAGAGTAGTATGCGATCACGTTTACGCCACAAAATTGTTGCATGAACCTTGATTCCGATGTTAACAACTATACAAATCAAAGGGTTGGGGTTGGGGTCGGAGGACTCACATGCAGAACCAGGCACTTTGGGCGGCGCGTCTGTTGCGGCGCACGGTGAAAAACTCCTTTAGTAGATTTCGCCCTTCACGCTCACCACGCTCAATCTCGAGTAGTTTGTACGCGTAGTACATATCACGTGTAGCCTGGACAGGGGAAAAGCGAAGCTTCTTGACAGATCGGAGAGCCTTGTCAAATCGGCCGCGCTCCATGTACCAGCGGGGAGATTCCGGACAAAAATACACTTGGAGCATGACAATCAGTGGGGGGATAGAGGTCGAAGCCATCATCCATCGCCATGGAGAGTTCTCGCCACCGATTATAGTGACGTTTTGGAAAGCCACACAGACGATGAAGCCAAGGGCGATGCCGAAAGCAGTCCACATCTGTGACGTTGATTAGATTATGAGCCTCCAACAGTATTGAGGGTCTTCTCACCTGCCACATCATGGTCAGAGCACCACGAATGTTCTTTGGTGTGGATTCAGCAGAGTAGACGGGTGTTGTGCTGGATTTTGCGCCAACAGCGAAACCAAGCATGAAACGAGCGAACAAGAAATTCCAGAGGCTAGCAGATGTCAGTTAGATCTCTAGCCTTGTGACAGCAATCCGAGACTTACGAGGTAGTGATAGACATCCAGAAGCCAGTGAGCGTAGAGATAGCGCAAGAGATGAAGATGGTTCCGCGGCGGCCGGTGTACTTGTTGAGAATCGGACTGGTCCAGCAACCGACAACAGCGGAACAAAGGTAAGGAGCACCGTTTGTCAAACCTTTCATCCATTCGTTCTCAATTTTGAATTCTTTGAAGTAGAATTCCTACAGTCGTTAGAAATTTGCAGAGATTCCAAGATGGGTTCCGCATACCTGCGCACCGTTCACGGTGGTCTGATCCATACCCTGAACGATAGCTGACCCAGCGCAAAGAGTGCAGAGGAAGTACAAGGCAAAGGGTTGATGCCATCGAGATGTCTCTTCCTTTCTCAAGATCGCCTTCTCATCTTCAGAGAGCATCTCAATTTTCTCAAAGCCACCAGGTGTGTTGTTGACTTGAGCGACGAGAGCTCCCTTCCGGAAATCTTCGCGGTGTTCGGAGAGGCCCTTGGACTCGACGAAAGCGTCAACGTCAGCAAGGACCTCTTCTCGAGTCATGCCAGCCAAAGGGTTGCGAAGAAGAGTGGCCTTGGAGACTCTTCGCTGGCCAAAGCCAGCGCCGTCATTATCGTTGACGAAAGTTCCATTGCTGCTGGAGTTGCGGTAGCTGTCGTTATGGGGGCCAATGTGATCTGTGTCGTAGGCTGGCGGAGCCTCGCTGTCGGCTCTTGGCAGAGGCATCGTGTTTATCTCGAAAAGGCAGGGCAGCAGATAAGAAGCAGACCACTCAAGAAACTGGTAATGTCACTGGCAACTGAGTCTGGGGAGAGGTTGGGGCCCCGGATTCTGTCGAGGGAATGCTTTGGATGCAACAGAGTCGTACAAGCTGGGGACGGCCCAATTATTATATGTCTTTTTGGAAAGGATTCGAGAAGACTGACCCCACGCGATGAGCAAATGTTGAAAGGAGTTTGAGGATGGAGGAGTGGAGGCTGCCAAGATGATCGTCGGATTCTTTGGCTGTGTGCGGCTCAAAGCTCGGTGTATCCCTGTCTCGGCAGCACATTTTATGACGTTGTCCAAGAGGTGAGATGAAGTGAGATGTCTCTTTGTTGCTGCCTCTCGAATCCTTCAAGGGGAGACTGTGTGATGATGACGCGCCGGATGTAACGGGAGTTGAAGTTACAATATGGCCGCGTGCATATTCTCACATGGTGAATCTCCGATGAAGACGGCTCCGATTCATCAATCTTGTCGTTCTTTTAGTAGGGGTGCTCTCGTGCGTGTCATTACCGTGGTCCAAGGTCGGAGAACTGTCGATTGAGTTCTGCCCAAAGTCAATCAGCGCTTATCCTCCACAAACCCAAAAACGAAGTCAAAAGAGCCTCACACAAACCTGCTCCAAGCCGCCGACGTTGGATCGTCTGCCAAGCCAGTCATGTCTCCCCCAAGAACGATCATCGGCGCAAAGACCCTAGTAAGCCGCCTCGATTAAGCTTAAACGGGCGATCCTCCCACGACAAGGATGACTTGGCGCTAGTCTGGGCATGCGTCACAGTCTGTCGACCAAACATTGCACTTGACGTCAATTCTTCAATCGTCCCAGTAGCAAGTTTTTGATGGTGAGTGTGAGGTTTTGGGTGTTTTTCGCTTACCCCGGATACGAAGCACGTGGAAGTGATCCAGATATGGCCAACCTTATCTTGACCTCCGCTAAGTTCTCGGTGAACTTGATTGGCGGCGTTGAGAGTGACTGCATACATCGGAGTTAGCAAGCATTGGCGAGTGACTTCTCATGGAACTTGTCATTCTTGGTGGACTGTGTACCACTCGGGTTACCCGTTGTGGTCCAAATAAACTCAATCGATCGTCAGATCCTGGGACTGGCAGACTGATAGATGAGACATGTGGACCTGGCCCAATTTACCCCGAAGTGCAAGACATGCTCCACAAGAGCTTCTTGGTATGGATAAGACCCAATCTTAATTCTGTTGCCTGTTGACTTGGCCGGGCTTGTCGTTGCGCCAAGGTCTAAGCCTTTGATCAGATGAAAGGCAAATCTTTCAATCTGCATGTTGTTTGCTTGGCTTCGGGAAAGTTGTGGACATTAACCGTGAATCTTTGGAGGACTGTTTGGGGAGCAAAGGTGTTTCTGGCGCTGAGCCAGGATCTAACTTTCTGAGCGCTTTATACTAATAGAGTTGTATTATCGACGTTGCAGCGTAGTGGTCTCGTGGGTGAGGGATCGATCCTTGGTCAATAGAAATAGCAACGATCGCCGCTAACAGACTTCTCGACTATCTAGACTATTAGCTCTGAATCAAGGGTCTTTCTGACGTAAACTGACTTGCTATTCATGCGTGTGGCTCGAAGAGGGATGACAAAACCCATCGAGAAAGGGTAGTTTGCCGCGGTTGTAGGGAGGCCATCCTGAAGTAGGTAAGTAAGGCTGCGTACCATCCGTGGATCTTGAGGATCTCTGTCTCTCTCCGTAAATATATGTTTTCTGTGAATAGCCAGACGTGCTTTCATTGTCGTAGTAAAAGCAGAGGCCCGCAGGTCGTCGAGTGTCACTCTGCAGGGTTAGCCATCACACAAACATATTTTTTTCATTGGGTAGATTTCCCTCGATCGCTGAAGCGGGGCTAAAATCCCTGTTTTGCGGGCTGTCTCTTTGATAATGCGCGTAGGGGCAATCAAAAGTGGAAAACATCGAGAATCTGTCTGGAATTTCAAAGGCATCAACCATGCACTCGACAATGACCACAACAAAAGGGGGCCTACATGGATGTGAATCGTTGGACTTCTTAGCATAGAAGTTTATTCTGTTTGCGGCTTTATTAACGTAAGGTTAAGGTAGCTAGGCGTGCAGCTGGAGAGTGTATTGACCCAAATGCACATATCAGATTGCCATCAATACCAACGCACAGATACACCATAAACCAAGTATCACCTTCGAGATATAATATTCACTTGGTCTTTGGATGGATCTATGTTAGCCCTCCTGTCGACTCGCATTGGAGCTCCACATAAGTCTCCTTGTACCAAAATATTGGGAGCAAATAAGGAGTTCCTCAGGAGCTGCACCACCACATCGTCTTTCTGTTTTACATTCTACCTTCTCCTTGGGTGCACATGCAAGTCATTCGAACACTAAAATCCTCACTCATAACTCCCTCCCTTCCTCGTTTCATCCCATCTCGATCTCTGCCTCAAAGTTTTCAGGCCTCGAGTCCCTGTTAACCCCCTATCACCCACTGCAGCTCCTATGAATTACAGCTGTTGCCTCGTCAGTGCCTGTACTCCCACTAGCGCCTTCTCTCTCCTTCCTCCTCGTTCTTTCTGCTTAATTCACCCTCACGGTTGCCTGATCTTTCGGGCTCACACCTGAGGCACCTCACTTTGGCCTTCTCTCCTTCCCCTCCTCTCTCCTCCCTCCTTCCTTCCTTCTCCTCTCCACCGCACTCAAGGCACAAGAGATCTTGAGCTTTTCCCTTTTTGATCTGACGGTAAGTATCTCTTCGACCTCTCCTTCGTCTTCCCTCTCTCATATCCTGTCTCTGCAGCTCACCCTCGCGCGTCTTCCACTTTCCTTCGCGTGTTATCATTTCACCGCCAAGATGTGCCGTGAAACAATCACCATCGCTCAGTGTGCTCCTGAGGTGTCACCCGTTCTCGCCTTCTATTGCGCGAAGCTTCACCTTGTCGCTAAGGACCGCATCCTCTGTGACGCTGCCAAGGGCAAATGCATCTGCTTCTTTGGTTCTTGCGGTTCTATTGACCGTCAGATTCCGACCAAGGGAATCAGCCTCGAAGAGATTGTCAAGGCGCGATGTGCTGAATGTACTACCCGAGAGCACCGAGTCGGCAACGGTATTCCCGCCCAGGAGATCCTAGAGTCTGTTCTCCTTCGCTCTGCCGACGACCAGAACGGCTGGGAGGAGCGATCCAAGCTCGTTTCTTCGCTTTGGCTCAACAAGACTGCATGCCCCTATCACGTCGACAACTCCACCGAGCCTGCTGCTCCCATCGCCGAGGTCATCCGCATCATCGAGCACGTCCATCTCGACACCGAAGTCGCTCACTCTGGTGCTGGTGTGAGCGCTGAGCCTGTTGAGCCTGTTGGACTTGCCGAACCCACTCCTGAGTCCACTGAGACCAAGTCAAGCTTCGAAGATGCTGGCACAAAGGCTTTCAGCGATTACGAGCCTGACAATGCTGCTAAGGAAGATGTCTCTTCGTCTCCGGTCGGCCCTGTCTTTACCGATTCCTTTGTTGCTGAGCCCGCCTCTTCTCTCGTTGATGAGTGGACTGCTAACGCGGGCACCGCTGACAACGCTGGCACCACTGATGAGTGGGCTACCAACACTGCTCCCGCTGGTGAGCAAGATGACAACGCCGACAATCAAGGTTCCGACTCTGGTAAGTAGAGTCCCTCTACAGTCCTGACGGTCACTGACATCAAGCCACAGGAGCCAAGAACATCCTGGACCCCGACGAAGTGGGCATTTCTACCAGCCGCTGGGCCCCTGGGAATTCTCCCATCAACTCCTCCAATTCAGTCAAGCTAGCTGCCAAGGCCAACGACAATGAGAGCGGAGGTGATCATGAGAAGGCACCTGAACAGGCACAGACTCCTGTGGTCGATGTTTCTCGACGTGCGGTCAACTTCTCCTACAATCCCAACAATGCCGAGAAGCTCCTCGAGACCGCTGAGCTTTTTGCCAACGTGAAGAAGGCCTTCCTCATGGGTAAGGCTTAAGCGTCAATCCGGGTGACAACGAATTGCTGTGGGGGGATGAAGAGTATTATGGGTAGTCTTGGTCTTTCCAGATGGATGATTGGAGTGTAATTGAATGAACAATAGTGAGCCATATTTTGACTCTCAGCAGACAAGACAGAACACAGTACTCAAGCATCCTATGTCTCAATTCAAACAGTGACGGGAGCAAACTATTCTTCATTCACAAGGTGACTTATGCTATGACTCAGTATTGCAAAATGCGATAGACGTGACCTAAAGAAGTCCTGAGTGTGCTTGATATATCATATACCCTGGTGAAGTCTGCCCTCGGGGACCATGAAACTTCAGACCTGAATATAGGTGTCAAAAATAAACTCAGCAAAAGATCTCCTCAACTTATCCTAAGCTGCCTAAATCTTTTTATCGTTTAGGATAAAGGTCCTGAGTTTTCTTTCCTCCCCTGCTAGGTACCTAGTCTGCGTATTAGCCTCCAGTGTTGTCCCTCACCCGAAATACCAGGGTTTACGGGCACTAATGTGAATCTCCAGCAGGCGAGCAGGGATCTCCCCCAGAATGTTTCATCATCTCACAGCCAGCCTCCGTTGACATCTTCAATCCAGCAGTGAGATCACGAACGAAGGACTCCATATGCTTCTCATAAATGGGTTCTCAGCAGTTCAATTCTCGCTACGCCAGAGTTTTCGCCACTCAATGCGTTTCATGGCAAAAGCAAAACGGCAACAAAATGGCACTCGGGCTAGGATTAACGCGGGAGTCTGACACCTTGGCGATGTTTTGGGCCAATCATTCCCTCATCTGCGTCTCAAGCTGAAAGCCCCTGCATGGCCTTCTGACGCGCCTTTCCGGCCTCGTACGAGGAGAACGGGAGCAAGAGATGACACATTTCTTGAGCGAGACGGCTGATAAACATACAGATCTGGCAGTCGTTTCCCCCGCTTGTCTTTGCTTCTCTTCGCTGCATTCCCGCGTCAATCTACTTACGATAACTACAGGGTTCAGGCTCCGCTGGGCCGCACATAAAGATGTCCAGCGATACTCCCCAGCCCGGGCCGGGCCAGCGCACGGCTCAGGATCTGGTGAAGGAGATTGCGAAAGAGCGCGGCTATCTTGGCGAAGAGCAGCTGGCGCGGATTGGAGCGATCAACCCTGAGCTTAGACGCGAGGTGGAAGAAGCTCTCCTTCGGAAGGATGAGATGATAGGCTCGGCTGTCTTGACGTATGTACTTTACCTCAAATTCTGGCTTCCGAGTGTTTTGTTAACGATTGCAGGCTGGCACGAAATCTTTACACAAGTAACGCCCGGTTTGTCTTTGAGCTGCTCCAAAATGCCGACGACAACAACTACAGCACCGCTCTTTCAAATGGGCAGGATCCATATGTGTCTTTCGAAGTTCGGCCAGATAAGGTATCAATCGAGTGCAATGAGAATGGCTTTACGCATGAGAACCTCAGGGCCATTTGCGCAATCGGTAAAAGTTCAAAGGTCGGGGCAGCTGGGTACATTGGGGAGAAGGGCATTGGCTTCAAGTCTGTGTTTATGGCAGCTTGGAAAGTTCACATTCAGTCAAACGACTTCTCGTTCTCGTTCACCCACCGCAAGGGCGACTCCGGTCTCGGCATGGTTACACCAGTATGGGAAGATGCAAATGAGTCACTGGGAAGCTCTTCGACTCGCATTACGTTGTTTCTGCATACAAGTGACGATCCTGAGGAGGATGCGAGGCAGCGCGAGACGATTCGACTTCAGTTCCAAGACTTGCAGCACACAATTCTGCTTTTCCTTCGCAAACTCCGCAAGGTGCGGGTCTCATTCTTCGATGAGGACGACACTCAAACGTCAAGCACGACATACTCTCTTCATGGGAGTAATCCGGTTACTGTCAAGAAGGAGACAGGTGATGGGGTGGAGGAGAGGCAGTATCATGTTACGAAGCATGTTGCGGAGAACATTCCCAAGAGCGAGAACAGAACGTATTCCGAAGAGCAGGATCGCGCAGATTCTTCTACAGAGGTTGTGTTGGCATTCCCATTAGCAGAGTCAGGCGCTCCAATTGTTGAGAACCAAGATGTCTTTGCATTTCTTCCCATGAGGCCAATGGGCTTCAAGGTACGTTAGAACCCAGCACCCATCACGACAGAAGCTCGCTACACTCCCGGCTTCATTGCGACCCTCTTCATTCTGACCTTCAACATAAACAATGCTATCCAAGCAAGATGCTCTCGCTTGCCAGAGACTAATCGCGTTTGAAACAGTTCCTCGTCCATACCGATTTCGTCACCGAAGCCAGTCGACAAGGTATAGTTACTGGGTCCCTCCGAAACATCGGTCTCTTGAACGGCATCGCAGACTGCTTCATCAAAGCCATCGAGGATTTCTGTCAGCACCCGATACTCCAATACCAATGGATGCGCTGGCTCCCCCAGCGAGACTCTTATCCTTGGGATAGCTTTTGGTCGGGTCTCCTCGACAGGATCGAAGCGCGCATACAAGAAGTCCAAGTGCTTCGTACTCTCGGCGCTGGAAGGCTGGATTACATACATAAGCTTTGCTGCCTTCAACCATGGTTGCGAGATAAAAACGGCGATCCCCTTTTCACTGATCTTGACGAAGAGATGTACCTTGCGAAGGAATACACACGTGATGATCTGAAACTGTTGGAGCCATACGGATTAGGAAGTATGTCGCCCTCGGATGCGATCACTCGTGTTGAGAAGGATCTCGAAAGGGACACCGACGATTCAAGGATGAAGAGTCCCGTTACGGACAACGAATGGCACTCTCTCGCAGCACGAGCACTTATACTGCTGAAGAATACTGCGACGGTAGGTCCCGCCCAGGACCGCCTCAAGCAACTTCGATTTATTCCTCTCGAGAATGGCGCCTGGGTCTCGTCAAGCAGTGGGCCACTGTACTATTCGCATGGGTCAGGCAGCCTCGCAATCCCTGACGACCTCGATTTAAGTCTGGTCGATTCGGGAGCAGCCAGCAACCCTGATCGGCGTGCTCTGTTTGACAAGTTCGGCGTCATTGAAGCCCTTGTAAAGGATGTACGAGCTTTAATCCTGAAGAAGCCAATGAAGCCGGCCTCCGATGCGAGTGCTCTCGCAGCATCCATTGCCCGTCTCAAGTTCTTGTACCTTTCCGAGGTACTACTGGGGGACAATGAAGATCGAGCGAAGTCACGTGGCTATCATGTGTATGACCAGAACATGAGGGCGCGGTTACCAACTATACACGATGTCTATCTCACAACAGATGACGAGTATGGCCCCAGTGAACTGTTCAAAGCTCAAGGAGATGCGCCCGGCTTTTCAGCTTCTTTTCTCCATGGGGAATACATCAAGCAAAAGCCAGCTACACCAGCAGGTTACTCATGGGGATGGGATGAATGGCTCCAGTTACGCCTCCGACTTCGGCTTCAACTTCGACTTACCAAGAAGGGTTCAGACCGAAACCCAGAGCTGTCTTCCGCCTTTCACTATATCGAGCAGCACCGACCGGAATGTCTTTTGGGCGCGCTCCAGCGAGTCTGGCATGTTGAGAGAACAAAGGTCATGGAATCTCTCGATATCGTAAGAGAGTTGCGTCAAGTCGAGGTCGTGTGCAAAGGAAGAGATGAGTTTGCTTTGTCTGAGCCACTCTCGACTACTTACTTGCCTCTTCCTGAGCTTGAGGGGAAGCATTCACGCTATGCTGAGGATGAAGGATTTGTGTTCCTTGATTTGGGTGAACCGATTACCTCGAGCACGTATCGTGCAAAATGGGGCTTCTTGGTGGATGATCTTGGGGTTGGGTGTACCGATGACCTCCAGTTCTATCTGGCCATTCTGCGAACTATCCGGTACAGTAATACTGCTGCCGGAGTGCGCCGGAATACCAGAGTTTTAGATCTCTACGAAGTCATTCATGCTCGGTGTCGGGAGGCTAATAGCTTCCTTGACGCGCAGGCTGAAGCAAGGTTCGTTTCCATCTGCAAGAAACCGAATCTACCACTGACTAATGAGCATAGGTATGCTATCAATGACGGAAACCTCATATACATCCCCGCACACGATTCAAGCCCCGCGAAATGGACATCATCCGAGAAATGCTTGTGGAACGCTCGAGAAGACATGCAGACGGCATACCCACTCGCCCACCTCTACCGAACCGTTTTCCATCGTTCAGAAGAAGACCTCGATGTCTTGCGGCAATTCTTCAAGACGGCACTGGGGGTGAAAGACTGTTCGTGGAGAGATTACATGAGTGAGATACGGAGATTGAAGGACTTGAAGAGTGAGGACGTTGACTGGGTTAATGACCTGTACAGCTCCTTGGACTCGGAGAGGTTTGGCATGATGGAGGTCGATGCTGCGAAGCTTAAGTATTAACTCTCTACCTTTTCACACTCTCAGCTGACAGATGTCTAGGAAAACGTTCGCTGAAGAGCCATTGATCTACTTCAATGTCGGCAACGTAAGCCGCTGGTACACAGTTGGTGAATGTCTGTGGTCGAGCGCTACACAAATCCGAGGCAGAGTAGCTCTCAACGACCTTTACCCCGATCTGGAAGATTTCTTCATCAGTTTCCTCGGTGTGCAAGAACTCACGCTGGATATGGCTTACGACGAACTCAAGGAGATGGGAAGTAGAGTGCCACCGCCATCAGTCGCTGCTGTCAAGGAAACCATCTGGGCGCTCAACTCTCTACTTGACACGGCAGCTGATCCGCCAGATCAAGAACCTATTTTTCGAGGAACGGTCTTTCCTGTGAGGTATCCAAATAGGTCAGTGAAGTTACGGCCTGGCAGGACACAATTCGCTATTGCCGACCGAAAGACTCTGGGCGATATCTTCGCTCCTCAGGCCAAGATGCTCGACTTCACTTTGGATGAGGTTCGTCGGTTACGGCCATTTCTTTCATGGCTTGACCTGGAAAAGCGATATTTGTCTACTTCTGTGCGGGAGATCTCTACTGTGGCGGGTGGACGAATGGACGAGCTGCAGTACCCGGACAGGGAGATCAGGCAAAAGGCAGCTGGACTGTTCCGGTAAGTTGCAGACAAAAGACGCCACTGATAGCTACTAAGTGTTTCGACAGAATCGCGGTGCATTTCAACAGTCCTCGGACTTCAGAGGACAACTCGGAGTTTTACTGGACCCTCATGGGTGCAGAAGTCTACGAAACGGATGGCATCTCATCCGAACTACATTTGTCACAGGATGGCCACGGTCTGGTGCATGTACAAGATAGGAGTGAGCTTCACATACGCGAAGACGACAGCGGCCTCAAGATTTACGTACCACGTGATCCCAAAACACAAGGATTCTGTTACTTTTCTACTCTTCCAAGACGGTTCCTGGAATGGATGATGACAGAGCCTGCTACTTTACAAGTCAAGCATGCTGGCTCCAAATCTGTGCAGATCGTGAGTGCAGTCTTGAATGCACCTCTCATCAACATGTCGCAGATTCTGGAGGCGGAGGGTGTTGTCGAGGTGGACATCCCCCAAGGCTTGTATGCCCAAGCGAGTGAAGGAGAGGCTGGATATGTCACTGGAGGAGAGCATGCTGATGTCGAAGAGGAGGACGAACACGATGCCACTGTGTATCATGAAGCACTGGAGGTACACGATGAGACTGTCTCTAACGAGGCGGAGGAAGACCCCATTGCTCGATTTCTGGCACAGCCAGAGATTCACGAAGACGACATTTCAAGCGATGAAGACTCTATGCTTCAAACATTCGACAACCTAATATCTCCTCCGAGACTATCTGACCTCCCTGTTCGACAGCGAAGCCCAGCGACTTCAAGCTCATCCGTCACTGGACGACGACTGTTCACTCCAACTTCGTCCACGGCTGAATACTTCCGTCAAAATAGGCGAACCTCGTCAAATGTTCATCGGAACACGGGCAGACATGAGTCCTTACAATCAACACCGAGATCAGCAAGTCAGCCAGCATTTATCTTTGGCTCTTCCCCTACGGCACAGCCCAGTTCCGCGTTCCTATTCCAGAGTTTTGGTGAAGCATCACAACATCCTACCATTGAAGACGAAGAAGAATACCTACGACTAGTCAACAATGTCATTTCTGCGGCAAACACTGCGGCACTACCTAGTAAAGGTGCTTACGATATGTCGGGGCTCTTTGGTGCATTGCCAGAAGTAGATGAAGAAGAGGTTGAGCTATCGCGACAGTTCCGATCACATGGTCTTCCTGAACGAGACATGCGAATCGGAGCTCTCGGTGAACTATTCGTAAGCTACCACTACTTATTGTTCTGACAAACAGTACTTACAAGATCACAGGTCTTTGAACTTCTTCGCAACATGGATCCCCCACTACCTCGCTTCAGTCGCGACAATTGGCAAAGCCAGATGCGAAAATTCATCACCATCCATCCCGACTTCTCCGACATGCTCCCCTGGACCGCCCAAGAAACAGCCGACATTGTCTACTTTGATCGAAAGCGGGTATTGACAAATCACCTGGCGGATAAAGGGTACCTGGACAAAACAGCGTGGCAGAACAAAAAGCCATTGTTCTTGATTGAGGTCAAGTCCACAACGGGGCATAGCCGAACACCGTTTTATATGAGTAAGCGGCAGTATCAACGGGTAAGTGTTCACAGCTTTTCTTTTGGGGATTCAAAACTAATAGGCTGTGCAGATGCAGGAGAATTCTAATACGATGCTTTCGCCGGTGACGTCGCCTGCGATTTATTTGATAGCGAGAGTATCGAATGTTGATAAGACGAATGTGGAGGTGAAGATTTATCTTGATCCTGAGAAGTTGAGACAAGATGGATCGTTGGTGTTTACGGGGGAGACGTGGTCAATCGTCCCAGGACCTGGATCGACTTGACGATGTTGACTTCCATGTCATCAATATTCTATCTATTTCAAATGAATAACATTTATACCGACATATATCATGCCAATGAGCTTCGCACTTTCATGTTCACTACGATCTGTTCCATTCATTTGGCTAACCTTGATGATCCGTCATTGCAAGCAGCACAACGATCCTGTTCGATGACTATCAACAAACAGTGAGCTCTTCCTGCTTGAGAGAGACCCAATGAATGGAAAGCGATCTAGGTGCCACTGGCATGGAAAGTTGAGGCAGCTAGGCTTCCGCCTGAACGGAAAGGAGAGCGAGCACTGGCAACGGCTTCAATGTGATGCATTCCCCCTTTACAGCTGTGAAGTCTCTTTTCGCAGTGGTAGTCGAACATCTCGAGCGCTGCCAGTGAATAACAAATCCATCCTTTATAATCTCAAGTTCAGTCCCTCATCGTAATCCTCTTCTCTTTCTTCCTCACAAGCTTCCGAGCAAATCTCACCTCTTCTCATCATCTCTTCATCCTTCCTGCATCTTGACACCTATTAACGAACACTACCCCCAACCTCATCAACAACCCTATCATACTGAAAGACAAATCAACCAACAACCCGAAGAGTCTCTTGACTACTTTCACCATGTCTGATCGTCCTGCTGCCCTCGAGGGTGACGACCTTGTTCCCACCAACGACGTTCTCCCCGACACCAGTCTTCCCAACACTAACCCTCTCGGAATTCAGACAGTCACTGCCCCAGCACTCAACTCCTCCCAGCCTGGAGACAGCAACATAGACCCCTTTTACGCCAACCTTCCCCTAGGTCTTCAGCCTTCAGCTGCTCGCCCTTGTGACGATGCCCCTCCTGGATATGTCCGCCTTCTTGGCGGATTCATGTGTCCTGTTGATCCTGTTGATCCTGTTGATCCCGAGGAAGACGATGACACTGAGACTAGTGTGTATTACATCCCAGCTGGTATTCTCGATGACGATGATGAGTTTCCCGGTGAGACCACTGAGGATGATGTCGAGTCAGAGCATATCACTTCTCCCAACGCTGCTCAGCGTCCTATGCTGCATCTTCGTGATGTTAGCACCCCTACAGCTTCACCATTTCAGGGCTACAGCTCTCTATACCAGGGTAACAACTCATTTCCCTTCCAGTCCGTCGGCCCTGAGCATCTCCAGCCCATTGACCTCCAGGCTCGACTTCGTATGGCACCTCATCATGCGATGAATCCCCCCAGCGCTGGCTTTGTTCAGCCCATTGTCCCATATCATCCCACGCCTATTGTGTCTGGTTTCCTTGAGCCTATTGGTCCACCCCCAGCTCAGTCTATGGTCTACTACCATACTGAGTCTGACCAGCCGAATGCCCAGGCTCTTGGCCCTCAACCCAACCAACCTATGGTCGCTTACCATGTTGAGCCGAACCCCAACTCCCCCCAGCCTTCTTCTCCCCATGATCCACAGGCTGTTGCTGTCTATCACCCTCAGCGAATCGGATCCCTGGGCGAGATGCTTAGTCTTTCTCCCAAGGAGATTCCCACCCCAACTCCCCCTCGTCGTCGTCGATCGACGATCACATTCAACCCCGAGGCAACGGAGTTCACCCCGAGCCCAACTGGTGCTCACATGGCCAGCGGTAGGGTGACTGAGTCCGCACTTAGCCCTACCCCTACTGGCATGACTACTTATGAGGCAACTGAGTTCACTTATGACCCTACCAACTATGGCATGATCCCCTACGAAGAAGTTGGTGTTGAAGGTTTCGTTGCACAGGGTGCTAATGTTGAAGCTTCTATGGCAGAAATTCTACAGGATACCTGGAAAGAGATTATGTCTATTGATGATGAGCGTGATCGTGAAGACGCGGTCAACGATTTTTACATCATGCAGGCCCGCCCCTGGACTGATGAGGACACTCGTCGCGAAAAGGAGGAGAAGGCGCTCGAGGAGCGTAAGCGACTATTCGCCCGCAAGAAGTAGACTTGTGAGTAACTAGATCTTAAGTCTTGCAGTTTGGAGTTTGTGATGTACATTGGACACTGAGTATTACAGAATACTTTAGACCAAGTGCGACAGATTGTTTGGATGACAGGCTGAGGATTGTTACTATTGAGATTTTCTTGCTACGGGCAGACTTCTTGTGATAGTAGAGTAGATGCCTCCCATAGTCAGGTTTTTAGACTAGATCAGGAATTTCACGTCTAAGATTGATGATATCGTCTCCCTTTCAGTGATTTGAGTGAGATGTTAATCTGGCGACGAACGGTCGTCTTGTTATGATGTGAAGCTCTAACTAAGTTCTGTGTGCTGGTTTAAGCTCTCAGCCACGAGCCTCAACTGTAAATAACACATCTAGCTAACAACTTAGACATTATACCATAATGACTGACCAATTGCTACAGCCAAAGGCTGATATCATAAAAACCTAAAAGATGACTCATTTGCCCGCCATCACGGGTTATAAGAAGCTCTGATCCGTCTCCCAGGACGATCAAACACAAGACAACAAGCAAGATGGCGGCACTCAAACGAGGAAGGTGGTGGCGGAGTTGAGTTTATGAGTCAATCACAAGGTTAGAAAATACACTTCGACTTTAACACAATGGATGATGTGAAGCTCATTGTAACAGGAACAGAAAACGCCAGTAATCTTACAAGTAAGAATTAATACTGCTTTATTAAATTCGTGTTCTTATATCTCTATACTAAAGAGAAAAAAAGACATCGCGACCATATGCGCGGCTTCAGGGTAGGCTCCGGTCGCCAGACCAGTCCCCGCCATCTCCGACCGAGAAAGTGGTCCATCGGCGCCGAGACAACGGAAGGTCGTCATACTGACGCTTCAACAAATCATAATGAACCCCCAAGAATCTCATATTTACGTACCACAAGAGCTCCCAATGAAGAATCTTTTGTGAAACAAACCTGCACCAGTCTATGACGTAATCTCGATCGGACTATATTTAGAGGTACCAGGCGTTAACCATCACAGTCAGATCTTGCGATCGCAAAATCTTGACTTGACGACTTTCGAGATGGCTGAGGAAAACGAAATTCCTATTACTAATGAGGGCATGGGAAAGCCTCTCTCGGCGAAGAATCAGGTCCTCACTGCTGGTGCTGCTGTGACGCAGGTAAGTTGCCTCTGAAGAGAGTCGAGGAGTTTCAGCTCATTCGATTGTAGGAGTTTCGACCGGTGAAGCATATCTGCGCTCATCTCAACGCTTTCCATGCATACGCCGATGACCCCTCTCGCTTCGTCGAAACGAACCACTACTGCGCTCATCTAAGTACGTCCCTCACCAACCGCTCGACTCAATCACTAACCCCAGCAGACGAGGACGTCCGCCAATGTCTTCTCTACGACTCCGACGAGCCCAACGCGCGCCTCATCGGCATCGAGTACATGATAACCCCCAAACTCTACGAAACCCTCGATAAAGAAGAGCGCAAGTTCTGGCACTCGCACGTCTACGAAGTGAAATCCGGAATGCTCATCATGCCGAACCGCGCAGTGCCCGAGCGTGCATGGCAAGTAGCTGAAAACTACGAGATGGACCAAGTTGTGCAGTTATATGGAAAGGTGTATCATTTGTGGCAGACGGACCGCGGTGATACGCTGCCGTTGGGGGAGCCGAAGCTCATGACGAGTTTTACGGCGGATGGACAGTTTGACTTTGAGAAGCATGTGGGAGAGAGGGATAGGAAGTTTGGGGTGGATTGGAGACTTAAGAAGGAGGCGAGGAAGGATATTCCTAGTCCGGTTGTTCATGAGGGTGAGTATGGTTGGAGTCGTTGAGAGATTGTGCTAACTTGTGTAGATGCGGATCAGGCGTGGAAGAACAAATGAAGCGTATGTGAGGGATTACAAAATGGAGCTGAGTGAAAGCGTGGGAGACGTTTACGACATAATGAGTTTATGGAATCAGAACAAGAAAACGTAGCTAGCTAAACAGTTTGATGTGCAGAAGGTAGTGATGATTGGGCGAACATACCGTCTATCATACCGGGTATCATCTATTCAATTGAGCGCAACATTATTGTATGCTATGTGCCCACTGTCTCTACCCCAAATGCAGTCTGTGCCCCATCAAGATACGGGAAGTGGGCAGTCCTCAATACCACACACGCGGCTTCTTCTGCTTATGGACATTCTACTTCCCAACAGTAACCTTCTGCGGTAACTGCTGAACCCCCTGCATCTGCTGCATAACCCTGGTATCGTGAACCTTGCGGTCAATGCCCCGGAACTCGAAAACCCCGTCGAGCTCTCTACGCACAGCTAGCAGTTGATCCTGGGCCTTGCGAATCTCGTCCGGTTTGTTATCCTGGACGACATGTGCCTTGACTTGGAGGAACCATCGCTTCTGCTGATCGACGGGTGTGAGGGATTGCCAAGGCGGAAGACTGCCCATCGGGATGGTTGCTTGCTGTTTTGTTTCCATGGGCGTGTAGTGTTCTAGTGGTTGGAGGAAGTAGTAGCGTGTTAGACAGAACTCGATGTCATCTCTGTAGAAGCGGTAGACCTCTTCAATTGTTTCCGTCTTGAATCTGGGCTGTGTCAGTAATAATTGAGCTAAGTGGATGAGTCCTCTTACATGTGGTTGTTGTCGCGCATGATTGAAGGCAACTTTTTCTGGTCCCAAAGCTCAACCTTCTTCCGCTGTGTAAGCAGAGGCTGTCCACGCGGTGGATCAGGAAAATCCGTCCATCTCAAGATACCCTGCATCGCATCCAAGTCCATCGGCGGCACATTGGCTCCCATGTCACGATCTTTGAGTACATCATATCGCGTTTGCAATATGAAGGATTGTCGGGTCAAGTTTTGATGAAGCTCTTTCCAAAGGAACCCAGTATTATTCCGTATGGGCTTTTCAATGGAGCTCTGATTGGAGATACCCATGGGACGCGGGGGCCCTTGGAAGTAGAGGACGCGCTGGATTGACTCCCATGGGTCCATGTTTGTGAGACCGCCGAGGACTGCGCATGCTGAGGTGAAGTCTTTGTCCTCGATGAGGGCTGTGAGGAAGATCTCGTGCATTTTGGCGGGAGCGAAGAAATCCTTTTGTCGCCAGTTGTATTGGGTATGACTTTTGTGTTGTCTTCTTAGTCTATCTTGGTATAGCGACGATGGCCGTGGCTAGAGGTTGATGCTCAAGAGAAGTTGGCGTATAAAGCGGGTGAGGGGGCTATGTCTTTGACTACTTGTCAATTGACGCCAGCTGGTCGGTCAGGTTCAAAAAGGACGCTTTGTGGTCTGTTCCAAATATTATACTAAGGCTAGTATGTTACTGAGATGATGCCATGCGATGTGTTCAGACGGACTTTGACTGTGACTTTGACTGTTGATGAACATTCATTCAAAATACCCCACCAGAGCTTGAAGCTCAAGCTCAACTTTGGTCAAGGGCACGTGACTTCGCGACTGTTCACGCGTTGGCACCAGATCAAAGCTACCTTAATTGCGCGTCTGAATTCAGGGTCCAACCTCTGTTTCTAACAAGATCTGATGCATCACCAAACGATTAATGAGTGCTGAACTTTCAGATTTGTGAAAGCCACAGCGAAATAAATCTATTATACATGTTTTCGATATTATTTGTCCATAATTGCGAGTATTTGTTCTGATTTTCCGTGTCAACTACACGACTGTAGGTTAAGTGCTTGCATTTAGCTGGCTTGGCGTGGCTTGCCTGATTGGCTGCTGAACCAGACTAACGCCTCGGCATTTCAACGTCCCTCAACAACAACAACGACATATCACAACACGACCAGATGCAACCGCTTTGGCCAGCACAAAAATGCCTTCAAGCGACATATCCAAGCGCAAAGCCTCTGATGCTCCTGTTTCTCCGCCGCCCCTCAAGCGCAAACTTCAGAGCGGTACAACCAGTGAGTGCGCAATCTCAAAAGCAGCGTTATTTCCATGCCGCAGCATGTAATCGCTGGACGACTAGCTAACATGGCCTACCTAGAGACAGCTGTAGCAAACTTCTTTACTCCAGCATCGCAGAAGCCCAAGGATCCTACTGTCTGGTCGGAGCGAAGTCCTAACGACGATACCCCTGCGACTCTCCTGGTCGGCCGATTCGATGGAGTCAAGGAAGATAGAACAATAAAGAGGAGGAAGATAGCGGCTTTTGATCTAGACTCGACACTCATTTCCACAGCCTCGGGCAAGAAACATGCAAGCAGTGGGACAGACTGGAAATGGTGGGACAACTCGGTCCCCGGGAAACTTCGAGAGCTGTATCAAGATGGATATCGAGTCGTCATCTTGTCGAACCAGGCCGGGTTGACGCTACACTTCGACCCCAAGTCCAAAGCACCAAAAGCCACTGCGCAGAAACGAGTTTCCGAATTTAAGCAGAAATGCAGCGCCGTCCTCAATAGTTTGAACCTTCCGATATGCGTCTACGCGGCGACCGAGCACGATATATATCGAAAACCGAGAACAGGCATGTGGAAGGAGCTCTGCCACGACTATGACATCTCGGAATCCGAGATCGATCTGGGGAACAGCGTATTCGTCGGGGATGCAGGGGGTCGGACCGCAACGTTGGGGAAAGGCCCAGACGGCGTTGCGGCCGCAGCTAAAGACTTTAGCTGTTCGGACAGAAACTTTGCCCACAACGTCGGAATAAGGTATCAGACGCCGGAGGAGTTCTTTCTCGGCCAGAAGCCTCGGAGTTTCGCTCGTGAATTCGACTTGTCCGAGCATCCCTTTGTCGACGATGCTGAATCGGGGAACTCCGTGGTGACCTTTGACAGGACTGACGACAAGGACATCATCTTATTCTGTGGGCCACCCGGGGCTGGCAAATCCACGTTTTACTGGAAATCCCTCAAGCCTCTGGGGTACGAGCGCATCAACCAGGACCAGCTCAAGACACGCGACAAGTGCGTGCAGGCCGCGAGGGAGCATCTCCAATCGGGTAAATCCATTGCCATAGGTGCGTGCGTTTTTCTCCAAATTCTACTACCCCAGGAATACCCCATTCCCACACCACCCCCTCACTCAAAGGCGCGCTAACACGGTCCCTTTGCAGATAATACCAATGCCGATCCAGAGACCAGGACTATTTGGGTAGAGCTTGCCAAGAAATTCGGCATCTCTATCCGTTGCGTGTGGTTCAAGACTCCTCTCCAAGTCTGCGAACACAACAATGCTGTGCGGGCGCTAAACACGATGTTGAATCCTGAGTCAAGACAGATCTTACCCAAGATGGCATTTACAGGTTTCGCGAGTCGGTTTAAACCGCCACAGATGAAGGAGGGGTTCCAAGACGTTACGGAAGTGCAGTTCCAGTTTCGTGGTTCGCAGGATGAGTACAAGATCTGGGGTCGATACTGGACGTGAGAACAACACCCATGAAGAGAAAAGAATTCATTCCCCAATTATTCACCTTGGCATCATGTCATCTCCGCATCACGCAAATTCTTTATCATCACCAGCTCCAAATCCTCATGGAGCAGTTGAGGTCCATATCGCCTCCGCATAACCATATTGTGGAAGGCGAAGCGAAAGACGAGACGAGTTGACATTGCAAGCGAGGACAAGTTCTGGGGTCTTGCTCACCGTATTAGACGGGGCTCTCTGGGGTATACAGGGAGTTTATCTGGCAGCCTGGAGGCAGTGGGTATCACTCCGGCCATCTAGAATGCAGTGAATGTCATCCTTACTCGACCAATTACTCGACCAACCCACATGAACGAGTCTCAATAGAGGAATATGCTCCTTGGTAGTGGAGTCCATCGGTTGTAGAAAAAGAACCGGTCCGAATCTTTTACTAAAGACAACCAACCCAAACGGCCTGGATAATCCCTGGGCCAGGGGGGCCCCGGCCTCTAGCTTTATTTGCTTTAAGCTAAACTTTACACTTTGTTTGTATGCTTATTCTGAAGATCTCACAGTGAGATGCCAAAAACCTGCGGGGGAATGCGGAGTGATCGTCTCTGCTTTTGTCTGTGGGCGTGGCGTGGCATGATTGCGGAGAGATTCTGGACCTGGCCCATTCTTTAAGCAATGTCGCTAAGAGCTTCCAATGCAACGGCAGTTATTTTGACGAACTGTCACTGTCATTCTGTGTAGTTGAAATAATTCTCTTGGTATTGGGGAACAAGACCTCTCTGCTATTCCCGCCTCCAATTGAACTAATTGCCCAGCCGGGACGATTTGCATTGGCAGAGTCTTGGCCCTTGGCGAAAAACGTGTAGCGGCTGGGCATCCCCACGCCCTACAATAGGTACATACCTACGTCCATAGTTGTGTTAGTAACAAAAGCCATTGCCGTGAATATTGATGTCAGACTTTCCCTTTTCTGAACGTGTAGGGGGGGGCGAAGGGGACTCGGCGAACAAAAGATGGGTGCTAGCGTCATTGCTAACAGCCCTCCACCTTTTCTTTTCCCTGTGAGAGGTTTCTCCACGGCCGCTGTAACGTTCTAGTGCCAAACGATGGGGACTCCGCTATTGGATGACATTTTCGAGGACGGTTAGTGAACGGAGCAGATCATCAGTATGTTTGTTTATTCGAGGCATGGGGAAAAGTCAAGTTTAGTGTTGGGTTCGGTGTAACGAAGTCCGGAGAGAAGAGCGGGGTGAACCAGACCAAACCTGCAAATCTCGTGGGGAAACTGTCATTGCAATTTGTATAAAAGGATCCCCAGATTCCTCTTGTCTCTCCCTTTTTTATAACCCAGGCACTTTCTGTCCATCTTTTCTTCCTCCTCTTTTACCCTTATATCTCTTACCAAGGGCAATTTCCATCATGGCTGGAGGCGTCAAGAAACCCGTCAACATCTTCAAGCTGAAGGACCTGGGTGAACCAGAGGGCGCTTTCAACTGGCGTCTTTGGTTTGCCGTTGTGTCGTTTGCTCTGCTCGGTGCGGCGCGAGGTATCGACGAGGGTCTCATTTCTGGCTCGTTCAACAGCAAGGACTTCCAGGAGACTATTCACTATGATTCTTACACTTCTGTTCAGCAGGCCAATATCAAGGCCAATGTCTCTGCTATGGTTCAAATCGGTTCTGTCGGTGGTGCTCTCATGTAAGTCATTCCCTTGCTGATGACGGGGAACTTTGGTAGCTGACTGGTGTAGTGCTTTCTTGATCTGTGATCGTATCGGCCGTATCTGGGCTACTCGTGTTCTTTGCACCCTTTGGGCCCTTGGTATTGTCATCTTCATGATCGGTGGTGTCAACGGAAACCTTGGTGCTATCTATGCTGGTCGTTTTATCTGTGGTCTTGGTGTCGGTCAGACTCCTGTCGTTGGACCCGTCTACATCGCTGAGATTGCCCCGGCTGCTGTTCGAGGTCTCTGCTCTTGCATGTTCACTGTAAGTCTATTCCCCTTACCTTTCACATATACATCATCTAACAGTTCAGGGCGCTGTTTACATCGGTATCGTTCTCGCTTACTTCACAAACTACGGCTGCCATCTCAACCTCCCCGACGACTCTCACAACCAATGGCTCGTCCCCACCAGTCTTCACATCATGATGTCCGGCATCATCTTCATCCTCAGCTTCTTCCAATCCGAGTCTCCACGATATCTCGTCAAAGAAGGCCGTCCCGATGAAGCCGCTCGTGTGCTGGGCCGTCTCCGACAGCAGCCCGCTGACGGAGAGTACATTGTCCACCAAATCACTGAGATCCAGGCTGCTCTTGACCACGAGCTCGAGGCTACCAAGGGTGTTGGCTTCCTTGGCAAGATCAAGGAGCTGATCTTTGTTCCCAGCAACTTGTACCGTCTCTACATGACCTCTATGGTCCAGTTCCTTTCTCAGTGGTCTGGCGCTGGTTCTATCACCCTCTATGCTCCCGACCTATTCAAGATCATGGGAATTGTCGGAAAGCAAAAGGGTCTTCTCGTCACCGCTGTCTTTGGTATCGTCAAGCTCATCGCCGCTGTTATCTGCGCTCTCTTCCTCGTTGATGTCATCGGCCGAAAGCGCGCTCTTCTCATTGGTATCACTCTCCAGACCATTGCCATGATCTACGTCGCTACTTTCCTCACCAAGATCCCCCAGCTCGGTGTCGTCGAGGGCTTTGTTCTCCCCGAAAGCGACTTGGCTGCTTCTCGCGGCGCCATCGCCATGATCTACGTCTCCGGTTTCGGTTGGGCTCTCGGCTGGAACTCCATGCAGTACCTCCTGACCGCCGAACTGTTCCCTCTGCGCATTCGTGCCCTCGCTACATCTTGGGCTATGACTCTCCACTTTGCCAACCAGTACGGAAACTCCCGCGCTGTACCCAACATGCTTCTGTCTGTTTCTGAGGGTGGTATCTCCCCCAAGGGAACCTTCTGGTGCTTTGCCGCTGTCACGTTCCTCGGTGGTGTCTGGGTCTGGTTCTCCGTTCCCGAGACCAGTGGACGAAGCCTCGAGAACATGGATGAGCTCTTCGCGCTTCCCTGGTATAAGATCGGTCTTCACGGTAACAAGAACGCCGAGGAGCTTGACCAGGCTCGTGATGAGAAGCACCGATATGCTGAGGAGAGCCACGCCACTGGCATTGAGCTCGAGTACCAGCGAAAGCAGGATGCTTAAATAAATTGGAAACAGAATATGAAATGGTTTAGCTGTGTCATAAATGGCACTTATATATAAATAGTTATGAATCACATGAAGCGTTTTGAGTAATGCTACTCATTCTTACATCTTGAGTCTTTCCTTGTTGTGACATCACGTGGTGCACCAATAACCAACAACCAACAACCATTCATCCCGTGCCGTCCACCTCTTTCTTTGTTGGCTCGCCGCTTCTTTCCACCTCATTATCCCGAATCACGCAAAATTGAACACTTGAGTTCCGCCATTTGAATGTATTCCAGTCAAGATGTTACTGTCGGATACGCTTCCATGAAAAACTGGCCCGCCGCATCCCACCCGGTCACTCTCATCTCGCGTGCGATGCTCTGTGATTGGATACTCTTCAATGAGCACTTTGGACACAGCTGCAGCTGTTGCCGCGGCAAAGTTTTGCCATTTCTTGTTCTTGTGGCTATCACAATAGTCACAGATGCCTTTGACAACGATGCAAGGGATTTCCTCCCATACACCAGCACCTTCCATCTCGAACGCGATGAGACCATGGGCTTTCGCAAGTCTATCGCGTTCTTCGGCTGATTTGAGGACCGTATCTCCTGAACCGATGTGTCCGACGAAAATGTACGGGGCTTGGGCATCTTTCTCGCGCCCGCTTTGTTGCAACTTCGACTTTTGGTCAAGTCGATCTCGGACGAGGAGCTGTCTCTTGTCGCAGCCAAGTTCGAGACATGAGGCGTTGCGACTGGCCTCACATACTCCAGAGCCACTCATACAGAAATTGCAGTCTAAATGATGCTTGTGGAGATATGAGCGAGGAAACAGACAATCCTTATCTGCCCCAGGAAAGTGATAATTCGCAGCTCGACGTTGTCCTCCGGCGCGCAATTGAAGTTCCTCCAAATGCACTGTCGCCTTATCTTCGAGCTTTTCCCGGGCTCTGTCGGTCTCAAACCGAGCGACAAAGTTGCGAATGTTTTTCGTCGGTCTTCCTAAGCGATCATCGAGAGTGTCCTTAATCTCAAGCTTATCGGGATAGTGTCGACCGAAATCACGCTGGACGACCGCCTTGCTGATAACAACGTCGCCGAGAAGAATCTCCTCGCCTGAGGGAGATACAGGCACACCGCCGCAAACCCCAGTCACCAAAACCAATTCGAGGTTGGGATAACTGGCACGGAAACTTGCTGTCGCACTTGCAGCGTTGACCTTTCCCATACCCGAAAGAAGGACAAGGACAACATTGACTCCCCCCATGCGCCCAATTGAGTAAGTATTTGGGTCACCAACTGACCTCCCCAGCTTGGTTTCTTCCCAAAACTCGTCGACAACATGGCTCACAGCATTATACTCAACAGCCAGGGCACAGACAATACCGACACGGAAGTCATCACGGCTTTTGGGTGGAGCGAACATGAGTTCCTACAATTGCCAACTTGCACGAAAATTGAAGATGATGGTTCTCCAACCCAGTTGCAGGATTGCTGACCGAGAGGCCTCACGTGGTGACTGCCTCGATCGATAGCCTGGTTCGCCTTGCAGGGTTCCAGACTTGGCCTTGGTCAGCCGCAATTCCCCCTCTCATGAGGCCAATCGCCTCTTCAAGACTCCAACAAAACAACGATCAAATCAACTGCGATGAATGGCCCTACATTTCAGGACCCCGTCTATGGCAGTAATGTCGTGACAGGGATCACTGCGACAGGCAATGCTCATCAAACCTTCAACTTCAATCAATGCGCCGAGGCAAAGCCAAAGGCATTCTATGCCCTGCCTTATGAGAAGAATCAAGATTTTGTTTCGCGACCCGATATCACATCGCGGCTTGAAGAGCTTTTGCCTATGAATTCAGATGAATTTAGAAGTGCAGCACTATGGGGACTTGGAGGCTCTGGGTAAGCCCAGTAAAACCACCTAGCGTTGTCGCAAACGCATTGCTCACGTCCAATTGACAGCAAGACACAAGTCGCTCTGGAATACGCATACAACCGATATCGCAAGAGCCCTTGTTCTGTATTCTGGGTTCATGCTGACAACGAGGCTACTTTTGCCCATGATTATAGCTCAATCGCTAAAGTATTGGGTTTGGAAGGTCAAGGCAGCGGACCTGAGCTTCTGCAAAATGTCCGACACAAGATCGAGTCCCTGGAAAAGTGGCTCTTGGTTCTCGACAATGCCGATGATTTATCGCTTTTTGGCGCAGGCCCAACAGTGAGCAATCGGACCAGCAAATTTCTAGATTTTATCCCCAAAGGCCCAAATGGCACTATTCTATGGACAAGTCGCGATGAATCTATCGGTGGAAGTCTCGTGGGGACCCAAAGAAGCATTCCGGTTTCGAAGATGACTTTCGCAGAATCCAAGGCATTGCTTGATTCCACAATCTCTCGACCAACAAGTCAAAAAGAGTTCAAAGACGTTTGCTCTCTGATGGACGAGCTACAGCATCTGCCACTTGCTATCTCGCAAGCAGGGGCATACATGCGCAGAACAGACACTTCCATCAGCCAGTACCTCGCAGACTTGAAAGAAGAGCAGGCGCGCTGGCGCGTATTGAAGGAGACCGAGTTCGACAAACATAGATCGCATGGAAATTCCAACAGCATCCTTGAGACCTGGAGTATTTCCATTCGTCGCATCAGGCAAGAAAACGAGATGGCATATGAGATTCTCCATATCCTGGCCTACTTTGATAACCAGAATATCCCTCAACCGCTAGTCGAAGCCGCTGCTGAGCACGGATGTGATGGAAATGCAGAGGGAACCCTCGAGAGTGAAAGGAGAAAGGCAGTTCGTCGATTGAAGGACTTCTCGTTCCTGGTAGAGCGTCGTGTCGATGATGGCGATGAACGGAACTTTGAGATGCATAAGCTCGTACAAGATGCTGCTCGCTACGGCCTTCGCGTTACAGATATGCTGGAAACAGAGGACAAGGAACCAACCAAAGAGTCTCGACGCCTGAGGAAATGGCTTAAGAAATGGATACAAAGCCCCAAGAAGAGTACCACAAAAACTATCGACCAAGAAAAGAAGACGCCAACGAAGGGAGAGAAGTACTTTGCCGGTGCTGCGAGCGACATCATGCTAGGCTTGTATCCTGAGGAAACAGACATGGAAAAAGGAACAGGGCTATGGGTTGATTGCGAAAGATATATGGCGCACGCACAACGCGTGTGCCACTGGGCGGAGATGTTCAACAAAGAAGACACTGCGGTATCGATAATATGGCGCTACTCCAGGTATCTTCAGCACTGTGGTAGAGCAGGGGAGGCCGTTGCACCCTTGACTCACCTCTTAGATCTCACCGAGAAAACCTCTGGCGAGCACAGCTTCTGGTTCATTTGGGGTCTTTACTCTCTTGCAGTGAGTTTCTCATATATAGGAGACTATCTGCCGTCAATCGATTGCTGCGATCGGGCCCTGAGACTGGCTGCAGAGGGCAACGAAGACAACGCGTATCTTGAGGTGGCGTGCATGTCCATGCTCTCGGAATGTTATAAGCATCAAAATCGCTTCGATGAAGCAGAGAAGTTGGCTTTGGAAGCAATGAAGCGAGGAAAAGAACATGGCTGTGGAGACGCAGCCGTATTTGACAGTATGCAAGCTTTAGCAGAAGTCTACATCCAACAGAAACGATACGACGCAGCCGCGTCTATTCTTGTCCAAGCTGTGGAAGAGTACCAGCCTACGCTTGGAAGCTTCTATCCACAAATGATACCGGCTTACAACCACCTTGGATCCATATACACTGAACAGGACAAACTTACTGAGGCTGAGCGAGCTTACAAAAAGGCACTGGAATTCTGCCATGCCACATATGGTGAAGAGCATATAGATACAATACGGGTTTGTGATAACTTGTCCGTGAATTGGGCTAGGCAGGAAAGGTTTGAGGAGGCGCTACATAAGATCGATGAGACATGTCGGTTGAGCGAGAAGATGTTTGGGCGGAATCACGAAATTTCGAGCAAGGTAAGAGATACGAGGGAATGGATTGAATATATGAGGGATCATCAATCATGATGGCTCCTTGAGATGGACTTGATTTAAGCGGTATTGCGGAAAGCAAGAGGTAGGGATTGATGGTAGCTTTGTTTACGTGGGATATACTGCAATGGAACTCTCTCTTGGTGTGGGATTAACTGTGTTTACACTGGTCGAGGCAAGCATGTTGGGCGTAATAAGGTTCTAATTATTCTTTCTACTTAAGCTACTTATGTTAAACCAAGGTATCGTAAAGTATTCGTCATGTGTAATATGGGGAAATACGAGTGTATGAGCGCGAAGGATCTTGGTCCTGTGCTCCGGTGTGTTGGCCCACTTGCTGACAGCAGCCTTTCTACCAAGACATGTTCTTCTTCCCGAGTAGTCGTAGTGTTCTCCATCTGGCGTGTCCACCTTTGGCGAGAGTCGATCGACTGATACTCAACCCATCGCGCACCGCTTTCCACCAACCTCATCAACTCCTGATGAATTCGGTGGTGAGTCATGGTGATATATATAAGAAGCAGAGAAATACTCTGAGCCTAAAGGCCTGTGGTTCCCTCGAAGCTGACCAGGATAGGAGTAGGTTATAAGTCCCGATGCTAATATGTAAGGTACTAGGGTTATGATTGGCACACAGGACGGAATGCTGTTCAATTCCGGATAGGCGTTCCATAAAAGGCATCTTGGCGTTGCTTTGGGAGGTTATACAGATCTCACCTCCCTGGCGCCTAGTATGCTGGATGGTAAAAGCAAAAACCAGTCGTATACTGGCTAATACCTATGTGAAAAGTGGGAGCACGACCTCGGCAACAGCGGGAACGTTGGCTGAAAAGGTCATAGCCATGGTGAGTGGCTGATTTCGGTTGAAGGTGAGTGAAGAATGAAGTTGTTGTTTGTCAAGGTAGATCGAATTGTCGTGATTGTGAGGGATGAAGAAAGCACATCATTCCCTCTTTATGGTAGACTTGTTGTTGGGTAGTTATCGATGTGGATATATACATATATATATGTATTTCTCCCTTGCGCTAGAACATCGTTTGGCAAGTCGTGATCTTTGGTGTTGTGTATCAATCTTTCCCACCTGTGCTCCTTTGAGACAGAGGGCCCAATCTAGCTTGAGCTTCTGGTAACTTCTTCCAGCTGGCGCTCAGCCCTGGTCTTGAAGAGCAGTTGTGTAATTACTATAGTTTAATATATGAACTTAGTCGATCAAGAACTCTCTCAGGGTTAAATGTGATCGTCAGTGGAAAGGCTAGAAGAATGCTTGCATAGTCTTGAGACCAGGACTTAGTAAGTCTAGGAGTCTGGTGAATTGGTCGCTGATAGCGGCCGTTGCGGAGATTCGGTTAGACTCTAAAGGTTGAGTCCCCGTCCGTAGATCTCCCTCACACGCTGCGCTGCTTGGGTGCTCTTGGCTGTGTATATAACAAGTCGCGTTCCCCAATCAAACCACATTGTATCGTGACTTATAGGCAGTTGTGTCATTGGTATGACAGATATGAGGTCAGCGCGGCTTCGGGTCAGGGTTAGGGTGCTGTGCTCGTATATCACACACAGACATAAGTCTCTTTGACTGCCTCGATGCAAGACTTCCAGACGCTGATCTTGGCCTCGCCTTGATGGTCAATTTCGGCCGTCTTGACTGGGCGAACTCCAATGATGCAGCGCAAACATCAGCCATTTTAGTAGAATAGGCTTGCTGCTGCTGGGGTCGTCTAGGATCGAGGGTTAGCGATGATACATCAGTTATTCTTCAAGTACCTCTCTTACATGCATAGCATACACCCATACATCTTCCTCGCTGGTAAGCTGCCGGGCCGTGAACGTGTTCGTGTACCCTAGATTACTGCAGGCAGCTAACAACGACCCCATTACGTATTCCAAAACACGCGTTCCCCGAAACAATGAAAAATATGCTATATATATGTAGTATTTTCTCCTCCCAACGCGCCAATTCGAGGTTGAACGGATTGGCATTACGATTCGTCTAGTAGAAAAGGTGCGGTCTGAACACGAAAATGAACAACGTGAAATTGTTGTCCCCCGCAACGAAGAGGAAAGCCATATATCTGCCGCCGCTCTCTAGTCCTTGCGACAGTGTTGTGAATTGTATATATAGAAAGGGCTTATGAGCATCCCAGGGGTCCTCGTCGCCCTCTGAGAAGGGGACCCAGGGGGGCCTGTTCCCTCGGTGTGATCAAAATTCTGTTTCCGCTTGTTTGGATGTCCAGAGGAGGCCAGCGATGAAGAACGCAGCTCAATGCGATAGGTAATGTGAATTGCAGAATTCAGTGAATTATCGAATCTTTGAACGCACATTGCGTCCGCCAGTACATTACGCCTGTAGTTGAAGTTGAGTATATAAATTCGACATAACTATATGAATAGCTCTCATCCAGCAATTAGGCTATTGCTTGAAGTGCTGCGATACTCTGCTTTAAGCAGTGATTTGTCCAAGTGTTGAAGTTTGGCGCGGCGGAGTACACGCCGAGCATCATGTGCATCGATTGACACTTGAGAGAGGAGAACCTCTTCTGCTAAAGGTCCGGGTAAGTTTATATATCTGCCTGGGCTATGGCTAGAGCGGTGTCTGATACAAGTCAGGCAAAGATGTCTGTTGCCATTCCTGTCTTGACTCATCTTCATCAGCAGTCCGTGGGGTTATTGGCGCTGTGTAGTGGAAGACTTGTGGTGAATCCAATTCCGAGACAAAAGAAGTAGGTAAACAGTGTGATACTTTTAAAATGCCGCGCTTACTCGGATCTTTACATTAACGACAAATGTGGCCGGCCTCCTCGGCATTAGTGGCATTATCGCGGAGCCACACGATCTCTGGTCAACGGCCGCCAGAGACTGTAAGCGGTAGATCTCGTCCATTTTCTCCTTGACGGGCAGGGAATTGCTATCAATGGTTAATCAAAGCGACGCTGTCCAAGTATATCGACAAGTGCGGGCTGATGGAATCGTCATACTCGTTTGTTTGACAATCTCGCTCGTCCCTTCATCCGTAACCTTCTGGGCGCTCGCCAGTTCAAAGGAGGGATCACCAGTGCGTCGCATACCCCAGTCATTTCCGTGAAATCGTGGGCCGATGACATCAGGGCCAAACATTTGGAAGCTATTTATATGCCATTTGTTGCTTGCGTTCTTGATAAGTAAAGCTAGGTTCTTCGCCTTAGGGAAGCGGGAGAAGATAAGCAACTCTTTATTATCCCCAAAGACTGTTTCTTCATCTCCTACCACCGTATTCTCATCGTCAAGTGCTTGTTATTCGTTAATTTCGGTCTCTGGCGCGACAGCTTCTTCCTCTGGCGCCTTGAAGACAGATCACGGGATTTCGGTAGAGGTTATGCTAGACCCTGACCCGTTCGGGGGCATAGTAACGATCATATTGATCATTCCGCAAGGCATCATCTTGTATGCGTCAAGAAGACTTTCAGCGTTGTCGATAATAGCTGTATACGTGACATCGATGCCAGGGACTTTGGCGACGATATGCCGTACTATCGCGCCCCCTTTGGTTAGCTAGCAAAAAGCATGGCATGATCGAAACCCATCTGGTTCTCACGCCTTCCCTGAAGCTGCATTAGACACCAGTCCAGAGGATCCTCGGCCAGAGACTCTTGACTATTTTGAGGAGTTATTCTTCTCCCTGAGCCCGCTAGTCGCGAGGCCTATGATGATCAAAGGTGTTTCTTTATATAGTAATGTTAAGTGTCTCATAGCGCTAGAGGGGAAAATATCAAGGTTAGCAAGTCCCCAAGTATATAATAGTAGTATACGTACGTTCACATCGATCCTGAAGGCATCTGCAGTAGCGCAAGTGGTGCATTCATCCAACTTTGCCTGTGTCTCCTTGAGGTCATCCAAAGTGGACAATCTTCAAATCTACAACCAACTCCCGAAACGAAACGCTGTAGTGAAATTTCATCTTCTCGATGAAATGGAACTGGAGGTTAGCCTCTAAGCTCAACTACAGGCTCCAGCTGCATTCTCCGGATCCTCCTTAGGATTGAGACTTGGTTCTTGATATATATAGAGTCGAATTTTCAGCCTAAGAGGTTGCGCTTCAATTCGTCCATTGGCGTTGTCCTACTATCTCGAGTGGTGTAGTTATATAAGAGAGGGTAGAATGAATGGACTAGCCAGATTCAGATGTAGAGAAGCCCTGGGTACAAAATCTTGCAATGGTAGGCAATTAGAGATGGTCAGATTGCGCAAGTGATGATGATAGGGAAATCATACTTGTCGGTGAAATCCTTGACCTCCTCTTACCTCCCAGGGGGGAGTCGCCAACGGTGAGGCACGCGAAGGCTCGAGTATTAGTAGCAGAGCCAGAAGTAACCTAGAAATTATCTCATACGTTTACGGACCGACTAGGAGTCTGTAATTCCTTCTTCGCAGTGATGTAGTGGCGGAGCTGCTGCACCTTGGCAGAAATAAAGGCCCAGAACTTGGGCCCAACTGGTAAGAACCTTAGAATCCCTGGACGGAGATGATCACAATTCGCTGTTCTCCCAACCTTGGAGAAAAGGATCGGTTGACGATTTGTGTATAGACGGTACAGCTACGTCCTTGTCAGAGCATGTGAATGGTCTGCTATCTTGGTTGCTCTGCTCCTGATGCAACTAGCAACGGGACAAACCCCTCTCCTGCCTGACAGATCCCACTGACACCTTCAACAAATAGGCGTAGTAAGTGCAGTTGCCTAGCCCCAGGCGACGAGCCGCTTCTCCGAATACGCCGAGAGGGGAGAAGCATCACCCTATAGCTGATCAGTTGGCGTGGGCTGCGAAGCCTGAAATCAGGTAAACCATCGAGCTATATGGGTGTGTGTGATTATAAAGACGAATTCAAGTGTTCGGAAGTTTGTGCGACTCGATTATCGCCCCTCCGGCACCCAGGCAGTTGGTTGTTCTTGGTGCACCAGATCTGGGCTGGAGGACGGGAGGTGAGAAGTTGAATGACTAGACCAAAGCGCAGCCACCTTTGCGACACAGAGTGTTGGACAGAAACCAGAACCTGTCACCGTTGAC